AAAAATTGACTTTGAGCCTTTTTTCCTTAAATAATTCAAGGATATATTTGTGAGCCTATAAAACATTTATTTATGGACCACTTCCCCATTTTTTTTACTGGATGCACATAACAAATTGTCACATATTTGTCTCTTGTCATGGAAATTTCGAGCACAACTCCCATATTATCCAATTAAGTCAATTTGACTCGATAATGATGGTGAGTTTATTTTCCTAAATTATGATGACAATTGTTGTGACAATTTTCCTGTTGTTAGGGGGAGAAATGACAATTCCTAAAGAAGGTTCGGAACTAGCGTTGAATACATTAGCTTTTATTACATATGCAAGCATGGATTGATATTCATGTATCACAATCCATAAGTACAATTGTTATTTTAATGCAAAACTTATAGCATGTGTTAAATGCATATTTATTAAGATTGTATGGTATATGGAGATCCTCAAAGCTCATGAAATATTTGAGATATATCGCATGAAGCGACCCCTTGAAGGATATAAAGTACCACAATATTCTTGATTAAGAGTTAACACTAAGAGTTTGAGTACTTTGAATTCAAATTTGATATTGTTGTAACATATTCTAACTATTAGATTAGTTATTGATGCTACTAAAGAGTTCAATCATTTGAAAAGTGAAAAACATGTTGAGTAGTGTGATAAACGATCATGTATGAAGACAATATTGCTTGTATTGCTCAAATAAGAGAAGGATTCATCAAGGGTGACATAGTTTCAGAAAAAAGCCAAGAGATTGGAGTTAAACAAATTCGTTCACAAGATAATTTGGCGATTCTTTTTACCAAACCTTTTTCTAAAGCCTAAATTCCAGAAGTTAATGAAAATAAGGGGGAGATATCAATCAAGGGGAGCATCCCAATTCTACATACATGACATATGCGTGTTGTACTCTTTTTTTCTCTCGACTAGGTTTTTGTCCCACTGGATTTTTCCTAGCAAGGTTTTAACGAGGCAACATAAGCATGTCCAACACCGTATCAATGATCCAGAAGAAAATTGCACTCTTTTTCCCTTATCTTTGGTTTTGTCCCACTGGGTTTTCCAAGCAAGGTTTTTAATGAGGCAACAATGTCATTGTATGGTGGACATCCAAAGATGAGTGTTTTAAATCTATGGAATGTGGATGACCACCATAACATCCATTATCTCTACTCCTTATTGCTTTGTAACCTATGTCCTTATTATTGTAATTAGTAGCTATAAATTATGGGTTAAATACCTCTATTGTAAGCAGTGGCGGAGCCACTCCTAGGCTTGGAGTGGCCCTGGCCCCCTAGATTTTTATCCCTCCTCTATTATATATATTATATAATATATAGAATTTGTAATAAACAACTTATAATTTAAGTTAAAATTTCCTCTAAAACAAATTAGACATGACTCAATTAGAAATATTTAGCTCTAAACACATAATTATTGAATACTTAGGTGTTTTATATACTTGTATTTTCTATTTCGGTCCCCCAAACTTTACAATTCTAGCTCTGCCCCTAATTGTAAGCCTATAAATAGGCGCTTATCGAAGATGAATAACATAAGTTGATACAAGTTCATAGAACAAATTCTCTGTATTTCTCTTCCTCTTATTGCTCTCTACAATTCCCCGTAGTTTTATAACAAACATATTATTTTCCTTATTTTGGTTGCTTGAAATTGAAATAAATAGAAAAATACAAATAACTTGTACAATTGTTGAAGGAAAATGTGAACCTCCCAACATAATTTCACCATCACTAATTAATTAATGGGGTTTTATTATTTTAGGTTCGACTCATTCGAGACGCAAGTATCTTAATTACAATTCCTTGCTTATAAGGGAAAAACCCTTTGATTACATCATAAAGGAACAAAATGTGTGTGTTTGGTTTTGCGACTGCTCCCAAGTCCAACCTCAGGGTGCCTACGTATCCCTTGCAAGAATCAAGCCACTCGTAGTTCAAAAATTCACAATGAATAAATGACTCATTGCGAAGGAAATTTGATTTAAATTGCATTGAGAAGTGTTTGAGTGAATTTGACTGAATAAACCAGAGATTCGATATGAAATTGTGTTTGTGATGAATTTGGTTAAGAATAAACCAGGGATTTTGTTTGGATTTGAGATTTAGGTGGTTGCATCTAGATTGAGTCTCTAGATTGCCTACGTACCCTTTCGAATGGATCAAACCAATGTAGTTCGGAACTGATTTGTGTAAACGTAGATATTTGATTTTGGGGGAATTTGGTTGATGTAACTAGTGATTCAAATTTGGTTGCGGTTGCGGTTGCGGTTGCATCTATTGAGATGTTAGACTGCCTATGTACCCTCAACGGGATCAAACCGACGTAGTTCCAAAATTTGGAAATTAATGGGTAAGTGTGGCCCACTAATTGAGAATTTATGTCTTTGGGACAATTTGAAGATTTTCATAGGTAAATGACCTATGAGAAAAATTGGAAATTAATGGGTAAGTGTGGTCCACTAATTGAGAATTTGTGTTTGAGAGATTCAGGTTTAATCTCATTGGAATTTTCATGGGTAGATGACCCATGAGAAAAATTGGATGGCTTTGTACCGACAGCCAATTGATGCAACCTGATAACTACTCAATTCTTTGCATAGTGTTTCCAAGTAGAGTCGGACCTTGCACTCCTATATTTATCTGGAGTGCTTGAGAACAGTCCAAATTGAAAGCAAACATTGTACCTCCTCCGTCTTTAATAGAGTACACCATGTCACAATTAGTACAGAATCTTTGCAAGCCAAAAGAAAAAACTGCCGCAACATATCAAGAGGTTTCAGACTCTTTTTGTCTTTTTCCTCTCTTTTTTTCCTCTGCAACACCAAGTTTCTTGTGTCTTTTTTCTTTTCTTTTCTTCCAATCTCCAACAAAGTGGCGTCAGCCACCCTCTTCCTTTTCAAACCAAGTGGGGTCAGCCACTTTCCTTTGGTTTCTTTTTTTTGACTCTTCTTCCCCTTTTTTTTGACATGAGTCTTCTTCTCTGTTTTTTTTTAATTTGCTGCCGCTATCTGCACACTGCACAGACCAAGCCAAAGCCCGCATGGATGTCTTCCTCTTTTCTTCATTCAGCAACTTTTCCATATATATCTTTTTAATCAACTCTAGCCACACATGCTTTTGTCTACTGTTTTAAAAAAAAACAAACACAATTCCAAAGTCCGTAGCGTGGCTTCCCCTTTCAGGACTTCTTTCCTTTTTGTGGAATCCCTTTTGTTTTGGCTTTCTTGGTCCTGTTTGTATGCGAACCCAACACAAAACCAAACCCAAAGGACTCTGCGTTTTTCCTTTGTTCTGATAGTTTTTTTCTTCCTTATTCTGTATGCCAGCGGCTTTTCTTTTTCTTTTTTATTTCAGAGCAGCGCAAGCACGAAGAGGGAATTAGTGTGCTTTTGTTTTCTTGACAGAGACGGAGAAAGCTGGTCAGACTCACCAAAGGCAGAGGTATAACCCATTTTTTATTTGCATTCCATTTTCCATATTTTTTTCATCTAGAGAGGTTATGGGTTTCTCATCCGTACGGATTTTTACATCCAAATGGTTTCATGTTACTCACCCATGGATTTTTACATCAAAACAATTTCACGTTACTCACCCATGAATTTTTATATCCAAACAATTTCCAGGTTACTCACCTATGGATTTTCATCTATATAATTTCGGAGTTTCTCACCCATGAATTTGTGGCCTTCTATGCCCAAGAAAAGGAAAATAAAAAATGACAGAATACCTGTAGAAATTTTTCTCTCTTCTCTACACTGCCCCAATTTCTCCTGCGGCCTTTTTTGATATGCCATCTGTCCTTTTTCCTTCCTTTTTTCTGATGTTGCCTTTTTATAGGCCAACTAGATATGACTCTCTTGATCAAATAATGCTTTTGAATTTCAAATCCATGCTTAACAGATTTAGTCTTCTTTTTAGGCCTATTATCTCATGAATTTAGAAAATAATAGATATTCCAAAATTTTAGGAACCCCTGTTGGCTTGCATTTGTCATTTACTTTTATATATATATATATATATATTTGGAATAAATGATAAATGTCTTTGGCCGAATTTTTAGTTTCAACAACAATCACAATAGAAAACTTTAATAACGCGAAATGAAGGCTTGCATACTTTATTACAGCGGAAGCAGTTAGAGGCACTGGTTTGGTCCTGAATTTTGCACAGGCTGAGTGACGCATTAAGCAAGCAATAGAAGAGAGAGGGGAGTTTTTCACACACACACGCACTATCAAGGTGTCATGGGAGTACAAACTTGAGACCACTGGTTTGCAAGTAAAGTCCCTTTAACACTAGGGCTAGACTCTGTTGGCTGAAAATAATATGTTTTCGTTAGAAAAATTATAACTTGACATTATTTTTGAAGTTACAACATTTGAGGAAGGTAGTATTGAAGCTTCAGATATCAACTTCATTGAAAAGAGTTTCAGCTTCAGTGAAAAGTTATTACCCCATCATCCAAAAGCTGAAGTGTGAACTGTTATTTTGCAATGACTACTTTTCTGTCCAATATGTAAATATTAACAAGACAATGGCAACTAGGGGTATAACCTGTCGCTATTTAATTTTTGACCAAAAAGCTAACCAGAAATTCAAAACATAAACGTTTTGTAATTAAGCCATCAAAGAATATACATCTGTACATGAAATCTATATATAATCAATTAAAAAATCTACATCTGAATTGCTTTTGACTGGATGTTTGTCACAAAGTAACAAAATAAAATAAATGTCACTCATTAATCATTTAAATTAAACCTATGCATAGTACAATTTGGTCTCTATGGGCCGGTAGAGACGGCAAGCATCATATAACTTTATGTATATTCTGAGAGCCAACTTAGGGAATATAACCCGCCCATTCGTTCATGCTTGTTTTCTTTTGAAGTTGATATATATAAATATATATTCATATATAACTGATAGACATATAACTTAGGCAGAGGAACACCATCGCCATGCAGAAGAAGGAAATGGATAAGGAAATTGCGGAGACGGTTGAAGACGAGAAGACATGGGAGGTGACATGGGGAACATTTGGGAGAGAGATGAGGAAGGAAGGCTTTATAGCTGCTCCAATGGTGGCAGTCTCAGTGTTGCAGTATCTTCTGCAGTTTGTTTCCATAATAATGGTTGGGCATCTTGATCAGCTCTCCCTCTCTAGTGTTGCCATTGCCATTTCTCTCACCAATGTCACTGGTTTTAGCCTGCTTGTAAGTCATCTTTCTTCTTCTTCTCCAATCCCACATTCTATTTTTTTTTTTTTTTTTTTTTTTGGATTTTTTTTTTTTTCTTTTTTTAATTTTTCTTTCTTGGCACTAAAAATATGATATATTGCAGTATGTTGCCTTGAATAAGGGGTCAATTATTGGCGTTACTTATCAAGTTGGCCATATAATATATACAAGCGGTTGGCCTTATCAGTATCTGCGGACAGTTTTATTTAATGAGCCGTTCAAGTGGTCTCTTTTTCAAACATTATTAAGATACATTATGATTTAGGTTATTAGATTATTATGATAGGATGGGGGGGAATCAGGATGGATGTTGTCGGGGTACACTTGATAGTTGACACATCGCCAACCACATTCAGTCTTATCGTCTTTATCTTTTGGTCGCCATTATAGCCAACATGGCTCGTTTGGTAGCGATTTTTTGTAGGTCAATAATCACTTTCTATGGAGAATCATTTCTCCATATAAATCACTTTAGTGGTTTTAAGTGATTTTATGAAGAAGCACAAGGGATGTGCTTATTTCCATAAATGATTCTGGCCCATCCATTATCACTTTCAAATGAAGATGACTAAAAGTGCTTTCAAATTAAAAAAAAAAAAAAAAAAAAAAAAAGAGAAAAAAAAAAAAGTTAAAAGTGATTTTGGGTTTTTGAGTGTTCTTTCCAGAGAAAGCTTCCCACGCTTTGAATTTTAATAAAACTTTTCATGCACTTAATGAAATCTCTTTCAATGAAAGTGTTTAATTATAAGCAGCAGTGTTTTTTGTAAACACAATTCAAAACATGCCCCCTATCTGTACGGTTTCTTTATTTAAAATTTATCCTTCTAAGTCAGATTCGGCGTAAAATTGGTAAGTTGAAATTTGTCGAGTGTGTTCAGAGAAAATCTGGGTGTTACTAGAATCGGTTTTTTCTTCGCCGTCCTCTTCCTTACACATCCATGGACATAACTAACAATTAAGTACTGATGAATTCATTTGTATTTGTGGATCAGTCGGGAATGGCTGGTGGATTGGAAACACTATGTGGGCAAGCATTTGGAGCAGGACAATATCACAAACTTGGAACTTACACTTGCACTGCAATGCTCTCTCTTCTCTTGGTTTGCCCCCCCATATGTGTCCTCTGGATTTTCTTTGACAAATTGTTACCCTTAGTAGGCCAAGACCCCCAAATATCCCTTGCGGCACGCAAATACTCTGTTTGGCTGATCCCAGCACTATTTGGTGGTGCAATTCTCAAACCGTTAACTCGCTACTTGCAGTCTCAGAGTTCAATTTTTCCAATGCTCCTGTCCTCCTTTGCCATTCTGCTTTTCCATATACTTGCAACTTGGGGTTTTGTGTATAAGGTGGGCTTGGGAAGCAAAGGTGCAGCCATTGCCTTTAGCATGTCCACTTGGTTGTATGTGATATTGCTGTTGTTCTATGCCTTAGTTTCTTCAGCGTTTGAGAAGACCCGTATTACATTTTCTATGGAGTCTCTTCTCCACATTCGACAGTTCTTTCGCTTAGCTGTCCCTTCGGCTGTAATGGTTTGGTAAGTTCTCCTCATTTTCTTTCCTTTCGATTTTCGATTAGTTACTTTTTTTGGTGAATTACTAGTTTGTTGTGTTCATTACCTCATTGGCCCCTCAGTCAGTCTAACCTTCAAAGTAACCGTCTGTGTTTTGAAATAGCACTCGGTAGGCCAAGAGTGTAACAGTTTGTAAAGTTACAGTTGCTTTCGACAAATCTTATTTTGTGTTGCTTTTGACAAAAATATATAGTCTTAAATGGTGGTCATGTGAGCTGATTATTTTGCTGTCCGGCCTTCTACCAAATCAAAAGCTGGAGACTTCAGTACTTTCCATATGGTACATACTTCAAACTCAGACTTGACCACCTTTTATTTTGACAAGAGGAAGAAGAAATTGCATTATTTCTCAGCTGATGCGATCAAACTTGTGATTTTATAGCCTTGCAATCTCTACATTGCACTTCACCGTATCATACGGATTCGGAGCTGCTGCGAGGTATACTCTCAACATTTTAATTTCTCACTCCATTCTGATTGAAGAACAAGAAAACAAAAATACAAAACAAATACGAAAAACGTTACAAAATGGGCCCAATTGATTCAGGTAAACTAAAACATCCAACTGTTTTACAGCATTCGGGTGTCAAATGAATTAGGAGCTAATAATCCACAAGCAGCTCGAGTGGCTGTTTGGGCTGCCATGTTTCTTTCTGTCACCGAGGCAATTATTGTGAGCACAACTCTCTTCTTCTGCCGCCATGTTTTGGGGCATGTTTTTAGTAGTGAGAAGCCGGTCGTGGATTATATTGCAGTCATGGCACCTCTCATTTGCCTCTCAGTTTTTATGGACAGCTTACAAGCAGTTCTTTCAGGTTAATTATTATTTATCTCATCATATATGGGAGTGTGAGCAATGCTATATCGATTACATTCGTGCAACGTCTTACTTTTTTAATTTATTCAGTAACTGTCGTCTATGAGATTTGAACTTGGAAGATGATTGAACAGATTAATTTCGGATATATAAGACCTATTCTTCTTTGTTTTTGTGGTATGCATCAGGGATAGCTAGAGGAAGTGGATGGCAGAGTATAGGGGCATATGTGAATCTTGGGGCATTTTATCTAGTTGGACTTCCAGTGGGTGTTGTGCTCGGATTTCCTCTACGCTTAAGGGGGAAGGGCCTTTGGATTGGAATTGTGGCCGGATCCGTTGTGCAATCAGCTCTTCTTGCTCTTATCACTGGTTTCACCAATTGGTCAAAACAGGTTTGTGAGTCCAATAATTTATTTTCATTATTCCTTGGCTAACTATATTTGCATCCATCCTTATTCAATACATGACGAAATTTTAAGAGAACTGTCGAAATTCCCTGAACTTGTAGCTAATTTTAAATTTCCCCTATGTTTTTTCTAATAGAATAAATGCCCCTTGAACTATTAAAATTCTCCAATCTTTCTCCCACCCATTAAATTTTCTCATTTTTAATTCAATTTGCTGTTAAAATACAAACCAATAAAAACTGGATCCCGATGATGCAACTAGTGTGGGCCTCTTTAAAACATTGTCTTAAAAAACCTCCAAACAAAGGAAAATCCAATCAAGGAAAAAGAATACCACTGCATCAACCAGCCGAAAAAAAACATTTCTCCTAATAAACTGCCCTCCAATATGTAGCAAGAAGGTGAATCCGCTTCTAGTTGATTGGCAATGAATCCAAAATTTAATACACTCCATTGAGATCGACAACTTAAACGTGAGATGAGACAATCTGACATGTTATATTACTTGTTAGAACAATAAACTAAACTAGACACTCTCATGCCATATTAGTTAACTGTATATATAAGTGGATTAATTTGTATTTGAATAAGTCTAAATTTGCGGTGTGATAACATAACATAACATCTTTTTGACGATAATTTGGCTTACAAACATAAAGGACACACATCTAACCATCTCTATACGTATCTACTGCAGGCAAAGAGAGCAAGGGAGAGGGTCTTCGTGGAGAGGTTATCAGAAGACAGCGAAGCAAATTGAATTAAAAAGAAAAAAGAACTTTTAAAGTCAGCTTCTCGGAGCCGTTTTATCTGCTAGTGTTTGCAGTCTTAATTACATCATCTTTGCTCAAATTAATCAGGCAAGAAAAAAAAAAAAAAAAAAAAAAAAAAAAAAAAAAAAAAAGTTTAACACACATTAGCATCCATTTCTCCATTTGTTCCATTTGCCAAGATAAACATAAGAAGATCAAGTAAATTTCGGTGGACCGGATAAAAAGGTTTTATCTTGCTGGACCTGAAGCCCGTGCCCTTTCTGAATCCTTGTACTCAAGAGAACCAGCTCTTATTAATGTGTATATATATAAAAATGCTGGTGAAGAAAATGGGATGGAGGCTTCAATTGCAGAAAGTAGGCCTTAACCACTTGGCGCCAGTTGTAGTCGATTAAAGAGTTGCTGAACTGAAATGTGATTGAATCAAGGAATTGACCATTTTGATATGTAGAAATTCAAACAAATGTAGGAATAAGTTGTAGTCGATTAAAGAGTTGCCTACCAATCATTTGGGTCTAGTCACTTCCTTAAGTACGGTTTAGGCATGAGTCTTTTGGGCTCTTCTAGATGGACCTAATTAGTATTTGGCATCAACAAAAGCCCCCAAGTCTTTGAGCAGTCCCTCTGGCGCTCAGATTATAATGAGTGGAAAGTTATGAGGGGTAAGTTATAAGGGGTTCACTTTATAGCCATCAGATCAATCCAAGGGTTAGGGAGAATTGAGATAGAGTTGTGCAATCGGGTAGGTGAGGAACCCAAACCCGAATTTAATATCCAACATTGAAGTTGGTCCCCAAAAAAAAAAAGTGGCAAGTTCGAAGTTTGAACAGAAAAAACCCATCGATGTAAAACCCATAGCTCTGAGAAACCGCTAAGCTATGAGAAACGGTTGAAGGCAACGGTTAATGACGGTTAAAGGCAATGGTTAACGATGGTTGAAGGCAACTCTGTTCTCTAACCCGTGAAAAAGTATTTATTTTGAGTGGAAGGGGCAAAGACGTGGATTCCGAAATAGTGAAGGGGCGAAACAGTGGAAGGGGAAGGAGAGAAGCCGCGGATAGAGAAATTGACTCAAAACATATATCATCATACTCAGATAGAGAAATCGAGTCAGATAGACTAAAAATACGACATCGGAGGCTGTCGAAATAGCCGCCACGCGCCTCCACTCGTCGGGGTTGCTAGTGGGCTTGGCTTGTGGTTACTATTCATCTTCTCAAAAAATCTGGACTCGTGGCTGGTTTTCTACCGAAAACAGATTTTGTTCAAACTTTTGTAGCCGCGTTTAACACAACTAAACTTAACCAAATTCGACGAAACTAATTTTGTTTTGTTTGTTGCCAAGTCTAGTTTACAATCCAATAAATAACTTCCTCAAACACCCAAAGTATTGGGAGAAAAAGAGAGCCAAAGCGAGGCTCGCGAACTAAAAATTTTTAGAAAATACAATTTTCCATATTTGGTTATAAGTCGTTTTCAACCATTCCTTCTTATAGCTTCAAAAATCATTCCAAACTTCACACCTACAGTTAGAACTCATTAGTCCTTGAAGGAACTCAAAACTTTGAAGGAACCCCAAAACTTTAAAATTACTCAACACACCCAAAAACAAAATTGGTTCTCTAATCCACTTCTAAGTGATCTTCCTACCTCTCAAAAGACTTGAAACAACTATAAAATCGAATTAAATCCATGAATTAACAAATTGCTTGAAATAATAAAGATCATCACCTTTCAATACCAACTCAAGAACATTTCCAAGCTTCTTCATCTTCCTCTCCCTCTCACTCTCTCCTCCCTTCATCCAACTCTTCGTAGCCCTAATAAAATCATATTCATCATTGAGGAATCTTAGCCTAGGTTACTCATCTCCTAGTAGTCTTCCAACTCACACCTTAGGTTAATGACTCACCTATACCAACTCATCTCCAAAATGATTGTGGACTTGAAAACTTGAGGCAAGGGGGAAAAGAATGGGAGGAGAGTGAGCTGCTGCCCTCCACATTTGAGATTCCTTTTGTTTTTTTCCTTTCCCTACAAGGGTATTTTGGTAATTTTCACACATAGGGGTATTTTGGTCATTTTGGCTCAAAATTCAGAAACGATTTCCTACGTGTTCGTTGAGTCAACTACTAACGTCCTACCTAAGAATCATACTTGTCACAATTCAATTTCTTAAATGTCCTTTGAAAAATTCACAAAATGTTACGTAGGGGCATTTTTGTCCAACTATAAATTAAACACACTTAATCCAATAGTCTCAATCCAAAATCACTTGATAAAATATCCATAATCATTTTTTACCATAATATTATTTTTGTTCTGAAATATGAAAATCCATTAATTTTTCGGGGTATTACAAATATGATTCCGGATATTACAAATCTTCTTTTAAGGGAAAAAAAAAGGAGAGAAAGAGAGAAGGAAACAGCATCATACCGCAAACTATTTATAGTCTAAAACTTTATTTTGAGTTGTTTCCAGTTTTACTATTTTGAACAAATTTAAGACTTCAAATAATAAGAAAGGGGAAAAGAGACAATACAAAGCCAAACACATGTGCCCTTTTGAGTAGCGGTGGCTCTGAGATTTCAGGGGTCCTTTGCAAAAATAACAAGAGGGCCTCCCAAAATAAAGTCTTCAACGAAAAATTAAAATTAAAAAATCAAACTATATAATCAAAATTTTGTGATCATCAAATTACTAATTAAGAATAACCAAGAAAAAAACAATAATATACAAAATATAGGAAAAATAAAATCTGAGAATTTGAGAGAGTGAGAGTTGAGTGATTGAAAAAAAAATTAAGATACATGCAGCTGGAAAAAAAAAAATTGCATACAACGTTGTATGTTGGAGATCTCTTATATTGGGCAACATAAAATTCAATATTAAATAAAAAAAGAAAAATCAACATTAATATCATCCTATTAATATAGGAGAAGTCAAAGCAATCGATACCAATATAATAAAATAATATTTATTATGGGGCCCAACTTTCTTTATTTTATACTGAAATACAAATGGAAAGTGAATATTAACGATATTAAATTGAGGTAATTTTCACTTTATTAAAGTAAAGTTTACCGACTTTTAAAGTTCGATACATCAAATTTTTTTCATCTCAGTTGCATACACAAAATTGATTCTCTTACTAGTTTCATACATGTTGTGAGTCTTTCTATTAACATGTTTGTGAATTGCTGATATGGCAACAAATATGTCACGTACACTCACTCATACGATGCTATGTGGTCCACATATATTATTAAATAAGTAAATAAATATTAATTCATTCATTAAAAATTTTTAAAAATTAATACAAGAGTCCCTCTCTCTCTCTCTCTCTCTCTCTCTCTCTCTCTCTCTCTCTCTCCTTGGTCTCTCTCCCTTGCAGCCCCTATCGAACCCACACCCCCAAGCCCAACACCACCATACAACCATTCTTATCTACAACCGAGATCCACCCCTAGCCCCACCTGAGACCCATCCGGGTTATCTCTCTCTCTCTCTCTCTCTCTCTCTCTCTCTCTGTGCAAATTCAAAATTAAAAAATAAAAAATTTAACACTTTGCATCTTGGGGGCCGGGGGTTACAGGTGGGTTTTGGGTTCTGTGGGGGTTGGGGGTGGGTTGTGGGCTGGATTGGGCTCTAGCTTCTCTTGGGTGGGAAGAGGAGAAGGGGGAGTTTTGTGGGCGGTCATGGGGAAAGAAGTTTTTTGGGTGTTTTTGAGAATGGTTCGTTAGGGTTATGTGTTCGATGGGAGAGCAAGGATTAAGTTCCTTCAATTAATTAATTAATTAAATTTTATTTATTTATTTAATAATGTATGTCGACCATGTAGTATCATATGAGTGGATCTACGTGGCACATTTGTTGCTACATCAGCAATTAACGTACTTGGTAACAAAAAGAGTGACGACATATATGAAAATTGTAAGAAAATCAATTTTGTGTATGCAACTGAGACCCAAAAAAAAAAGTGATGTTTTGAACTCTAAAAGTCGGTAAATTTTACCCTAGTAAAGTGAAAATTACCCATTAAATTATTATCATTACCAAACTACAACATATTAATGTAATTTAATATTTAATGTGGGGCTCGTTTCAACATGGGGCCCTACGGTTGCCCACTCTGCTCATGCCACATGCAGCCCTGCTTTTGAGATAAAACTCCATACGTGGATGGGTCCACGGGCCTCATCAACACTGATGGACAAGTGTGTTTAATGTTAATGGGTCCTATAGTTTTGTTGAAATAAAATTAAAAAAGCCCAACACCCCTGGCCAGCCTTTCCCCATTCACCACCACCACTGTTGGAGTCTATCTCTTTCTCATTTTCTTTATCTCACTCTCTCTTGGCCACCTAGGGTAGCTGGTGATTTATGTTGTTCTGTTGTGAGGAGAGAATCGGTGAGAGAAAGATATGGAGAAATAGAATGAGAAGATCGAGAGGACAAAAAAAAAAATTATGGTAATTGCAAGCTCTTGGAAGAAATACACAATCAAAACCTTGCGACATATAATTAATGATCTCTATATATATATATATATAATCAAATACACGGGACGGGATCCTTATATACTAATAAACCTTGCTATATTACATAATTATTGATAACATGAAAAATAAATAAATAAATAAAAAGCAGGGTCTGAAAACATGAACTACATGATGGTAGCTAATAAAATCCATGAACCTTTTATTTCTCTTTCTCTTGAAGTAGTATAGCCTTGATCAGTTGTTGTTGCCACTGCATCCAACGTGCGTACGGAGACCATATGGGGGTATATTAATTAGTATTCAGTAGGGTGGAGGAGGAGGAGGAGGACCCCAAGGGGGTGGTGGCCTGTAGGGGTCTGAGTAGGGTGGTGGAGGAGGACCAGGCGGTGGAGGGCCTGGCGCGTAAGGTGGGGGTGGAGGACCAGGTGGATAATAAGGTGGCGGTGGAGGTGGAGGATAGAATTCAGGCCGCGGTGGTGGTGGAGGCGGATGGCCACGGTGTGGAGGTGGAGGCGGTGGTGCAAATGGATCAGGTGGTGGAGGTGGCGGCGGATTTCTTCGGAAAGCCATTTTCTTTCGGAAAACTTGGTTGCAATAAATGAAGATAGATATATAAGGTTGAGATTGGACGGTTTTATATAGGCTTGGAAAATGCTCAACACCCTAAGCTTTGTACTCAATATAATTTTATAGTTATTTTGTGAGAAAGAAGTTTCTAGATATGGTATGAGTAATTCATGACATGGACTGTTAGTTGGAAAAGACTGGTGGACTGAAAACGCGTACATGATGAGTCCATGGTTATTAATAGGGTAATTCTATATGAACCCCATAAATTACTCTTTACACCCCATAATTTTTTACACCCCACTAAATTTTAATAAAGTCTCAAATTACTCATTAAACCCCTTTTTTTTCCCTCAATTGCCCTCATAAACCTCATTCCCTAACCACCCACCGAAAACCCCCTTCCCTTTCAGCCACACCCCATCTGAAATCAAACCCCACCCCATCTGATATCCAGCCACACCCCACCGAAAATTCTCTCCTCTTGCAGACACACCCCATCGCACACCCCATCCCATTTACACCAACCTCCATCGCAGAACCATCGAAGAAGCCCTTTGCCATTGCCTACATCACAGAACATCGAAGAACTCATCCCTTGCCATCGCAGATCTTTGCTCACCATCAAAGAAGCCCTTTGCCATCGCCTCCAGCAAACCTGAACCATCTCTGAAACAGAACCATCACACCCATCTCCATCTCTGCAAACCCAAAAGACATTGAAGGTCAAGTTCTCACAAATCCTTATTCAAGGTTTGATTTCAAATTTGATTTATATATTTACGTTTCTAAGTGTTGATTAAGCCTACATTTGATTTCACTTTTGAAAAGCCAAAGTCTGATACTGATTTTGATTTCGATTTCAAGGTTCTGGGTAGTTCGAAATTGGATTCTAGTTTCGGTGGATTGTCACCGAAATGATTACATTGCTTCAGTGGTAGTCTACCGAATTGAACCTGTACTTTCAGTGGGTTACCACCGAAATTGTTACCTTGTTTCGGTGGTAGTCCACCGAATCTGTTTCTATTTTTCAGGGGACTCCCACCGAATTTCTTTCGGTTTTTCAGTGGTACTCCACCAAATATGTATTCTTTTTTCAGTGATTGTCCACCGAATTTATTTCCATTTTTCAGTGGTTATATACCGAATATGTTACTGAGTGTGTACTTAATATTGTTTATTTTTAGATATGAAGAGGATTCGCAGGGGTACTACTGAAGTTTCATCATCACGACCTAATAGACAACGTCCCACGGCCTCAGCGAGGAGACAGAGAGCGGCTCCCCAAGATCACATTGATTAGCTATTGCATATTTGTATTAGAACTCTTGGAATTTTGTTGTTTTCATTAGTTATTGCATGTTTGTATTAGAACTCATGGAACTTTTGTTGTTTTGATTAATTATGAAGTTTGTACTTAAATATATGATTAACTGGATGATAAGAACTACTTATTTATTGTAAGTTCTGCTGCCACAAAGAGTTAGATCTTGCTCTGCTTCGAACATTACAATAGAATTTTTTTTTTATGTTCTGTTTTGTAAATAATGATTCTCATACAGCTATGCAGAACGACAGAAGAAATAAGGGCTGTTTATGTTCTGTTTTTTTATGTTCTGTTTTTGTTTATGTGTGTCTGATTTAGCTTTGAAGTTGGCCAACACAGACTTTTCATATTTTAACAACATAAGAAATCTATGTGGCCACCACAGACTCTCTCAATTTCCTCATAAATCTCTGTGTTCACCTTTTCTATTTTCTCCATCAACTCTGGAGGTTCTGCGACAGATTATGGTTAAACTCCTGCATTATTTTATCAACTTTCTCCTTCAACTCTAAATGACTATGCACACAAAGATGTATTTTTCAGGTTACATGTGAAAAAAAAATTAAATAAAATTATTAGATCTATAATCTCAATTCTGTAACAGGTGCATTTTCTAATACCCTCAAGGAATTTCTCTATATGCATATATGTATCGAATGCTGATTGGTTTTCGCGAGGCTTATAGAGCTAAAAATAAAACAAAATATTAGTTATATGGTAATAACACATTGTAAAATTAAACATTTGTAGTACATACCTTAAATTTTTTTGGATTAGACAACATGGAACTAGAAGCAACCATGTTTCTTTTTTTTGGCACTGCAATGGTACTTTTCTTCGGTTTTATTTTGAGTGAGGCAGTCAGGCTTTGCTTTGGTTTATTTTTAGGTAGAGCAATGGAGGCCTCAGCAATCTCAAATGCAGATGGCAAACGACGAGTAGAAGTGTCGACTTTTCGCGGTCTCCCTTTGGTCTTCAACTTCTCTTTTGGTTCAGTAAGCGCAGTAGAACCGGGGTTCATTAGCTCCTCCAGTGTCATGTGGACTTGTCTCTTCTTCTCACCATCTTGTTGTTCATACCACATATTGAATCTTTGTAGTTGTGACCTTCCTGGTGAAGTTGTGCCATGACTACTGTTTCCTATATTGATGAGATCTAATTTCCTCCAATGTGAATGCACAACATCAAGTGGTATTGGTACACCACGCTCTCTATACTCCGCAATTTCATGTGCACATGGTAATTGGTGGGTTCGACGAATAGCACAACTACATGATAAAGCATCCACCCCATCTATCTCTAACCTGATTGCAAAAAAAGTACAATGTTAACTCTGTAAACCATATATGTACATGCAATAAGTAAACTGAATTTACCTTTCTAACTCGCACACAATTACACTCAAAACCTTTATAGAAACAAAACCTACTAACTCTCTCAACTCCACGCTCTCTATATTCCTCCTCCGTTTCTGAACCAACCAAAGTATTCCAATCCTCATTAAATTGCTTCCATTGTTTGAGGGTCCCAAATAACTTTTTGCAGTTTGCCAACACTCCTTTGTTAATATGTCATCTACATAATAAATGTCGTGCTTTCGGAAATATAGACGTAATAGAATTCAAGAGTGCTAACTCTCGATCGGTGACAATAACACCAGGAAGACAATTATCATCCAACAAACTCCTCAAGGTAGTCAATGCCCATGTGTAATTGTCTTCCTTCTCGGCATTCATATACACATACGCAACAAAGAATGTCATATTAGTAGATGTCACCCTCACAATATGCAATAGTGGGAAACGATACCTATTAGTCTTATAAGTGCAATTCATGATAAGTACATGTGGAAATGCGCGCAAAATATCAATATTAATGGGGTGTGTCCAAAACAGGTCAGTTATAATATCCCCAGATGTCTTATGCCACTCAATATAATTGTGTTCGGATAACTTAGTAAGCAATTGTTGCATTTGGGTTCTCCCAGCAAATTCTTTGGTTCTATTTCGGATCCTAGCATTGTATGTTGTCTTCATAGTTGAAACATTCATTACATCTCTATATTTAATGGTGACCAAAATATCTCTGGGTTTCACCAAACTCTTAGACATGTCCACCAACAAGGCATTCTCCTCTTCAGTAAGTCGCCCCACAAATGAATGACCTTGAAGATACTCTGAAATAGGATGGTTGTGTACTCCACAAACCACCTCAAACTTCCAATCATCCCCATCACCAATATTGACACCTTTTAACAAGAATGGGCATCCACATTTCTTGGTACCAGTGTCTCTAATACATTTTTTCATATCACTATTTGCATCCGATCTTACATCAGTTGTCTCACTAGACTTGCAAGACTTATAGTTACCGTTCCTCTCACAAGCAAGTATTACACGAGGTATCCTCTTGCCCTTACCTCCATAATCAGACCTTTTAATTACAATGACAATATTATTCAATTTTCCTTGTTCACGAGCCCATCGAAGTAATGCATCTCTACCATTGAATATCTACACATAAAACTCATATTATTTAAATATAAAATTTGAAACATTAATGCCACGTTAATGATACTAAAAAGGATTTCAGACAAATAATTACCGAATAAGTTGTGAATTGATCACTATAGTTCATTACACATTATGTTCCCACATTGTTGCCTTCAGTAGGGGCGTCACCTTGATTTTGTTCCTTCAATGGGAGTAAGATCAAAATAGCTTGGATTAAATTTGTGGTTGGCAATAAGTTACTGAAAAAATAAATAAATTTCGGTTGGATGCCACTGAAACGCGGGTAAAAATTCGGTAGTACACCACTGAACTACGTTCCATCTTACGGTGGATCCCCACCGAATATTAAGTTTCTCACCGGTGAAATCCAACCGAAAAAGGTGCAAAGTTTCGGTGGCATCCCACCGAAATTATCTGTCGCGTTCGGTACTGATGTGCTGAACACAACCAGCGACTGTTATGAAATATTAAACTTGCAAAACGCCAAAAAATAAACTCGTACCTCATTCGAAGCGTCTCTAACTTCAATCTCACCCTTCATGAATAAATACAATATATTTTTTCACCAGTATAAACTTATAAATCTTGGGTTTAGGATTTAGGAACATGATAGTTTGAGAAAAAAGTCAAACTAGGGTTGCAGGAACATATGTGGGGTGTAGTGAGCAATTTTAATTTTAATTTTAATTTTTTTTGTCCTTAACGGTAATTGTGTATAAGGGTAAAATAGGTTATTTATATTTAAAATTAGTATGGGGTGTAAAGAGCAATTAATGGGGTGCCAATAAAATCACCCTTATTAATAAACCATTCACAAGAGCAACGTGGACTAATGTATCAATTACTCATTTCATTGCGTCAGACTTTGGTAGGCTCAAGTTTTTCAAGGCACCAAGTTTTTTCTTTCACATTCTTATTTTCCTTTTTTCTTTTATGTAAATGATAGTCTAAATTATTCTAAATTAATTTAATACAAATTTAGTTATATACCCAATCTTAGACATGGTCTTATAAAGAAATCCTATACCATTTAAAAACTATAAACACACCCAAAAATCGCAGCTGTCAATTTTTTTAAAATTAAATAGCCATTTTTCAGATTATTTGTGTGTAAAATACCTATATTGCCCTTGTACTTTGGATTTGAGAGAGAAAAATCAAATCTGCCCAGATCTGCCAAAAAACAAATCTGTTCAGATCTGCCAAAAAAACCAAATCTGCAAAAAAAAATCAAATATGCCAAAAAACCAAATCAAATTTTATTTTCTCCTTTCTTGCTGGTGTTTTATCGATGTTGGAGCAAGAGGAGTTTCCATTGAAACTCAATCTCAGGTCCAGCTATATTCTTCATCTCTCATCTACAATTTTCAATATTTCACATTCGATTTCTTATTCTAAAATTGTGCTTATATTGATTTTTTTTTTCGGGATTGTTTGGAACCTTGAACGAACCTCGATCAGATGCTCTTAGCTCTACTCCTCATCTTCAAGCTCTACTCCTCTTTCACCACTTCATTGTCGTCATCATCATCATCTTTATTATCGTCGTCGTCGTCGTTTGGTTTGGACTTGAGATTTTTGATCTTTTGCTTCAATTATGTGTTTCTCTTCAGATTTTAGTTGATTTTTAAAATGTATTTTAAGCTTTGATGATTGATTTATCCATTGTTACTATTTTAGTTATGGATCTCATTTTTATTTAACAATGTACTTCTATGACATAGTATTAACAATGTCCTTTTATGACATAATAGTATTAACAATATGGGCTCGGCTTATTTTGAGTTGGTCTAGTTTGTTCTTTCTTCTTTTCTTTGGTGTACATGTATTAGAAATAGCAACAAGACAAACATTAATCAATATGACAGTAAACTAGCAATGTTATTACCTTAGACTGGAATATTACAAGGGTAGATATGCATTAGAAATAGGATATCATGGGAAACTAGTAGTGTTATTACCCTAGACTGGAACATTACATGGGTAGACATGCATTAGAAATAAGATGTCATTGGAAACTAGCAGTGTTATTACCCTAAAGTGGAACATTACAGCAATTAATCAACATGACAGTAAACTAACAGTGTTATTACCATAGACTGGAATATTATAGGCATTAATTAACATGACAATAAAGGTGTGGAACATTACAATCATTAATCAATATGACACGTTAATAAAGCTATGGTTTTCAAGACATTTTGTTTGTAATGAATTGTTTGAGTTTTTTTTTTATAAAATTGGGCTGAGCTTGTTTTGGGTGCTATTTAAGTTTTTTTTTGTTGGGCTTCTTTTAAGTTGATTAATGGCAATCATGTAATTTATAAGAACTTCAACACCAATTTCGTATGTAGTAAATGAATTTTGAGTGTGTTTCTAAAGTGCATTCAATGTGGGGTTTTTTTATAATTTCAGTCCCTATTTTGGTATATTAGTGAAGCTCCCTTAATTTAATTTATAGAAAGGAGACTTGAACTTGAGTGAAAGGGGACGGGTACACTGTCCTGATCAACTAGCCTAACTCCCGTTAGGGATCCCAAGCCTCTGCATTTATTTATCATGCATTTTGGTGCATTTCATAAAATCTGGTCCATTCCAATAATCTAATAGTTCATATTATACCACATCATATTAATAAATTTTGTATTTTTATTTAAAAATTAACGACGTTAACCTTTTCTGCTTTCACCGACCACCGCATCCATCTTCTTTTTCCTGTTTTGTTTTTTTCTTGTCAAATCTTCTTCTAATGAATGAAAAATTAGAAATTAATTAGAGAAGAAAAGTTCAATATGAGGAGAGCACGTAGACCATGAAGAAAGCCTAGGTCGTCACCCACTATAGTTTCATTCTCCTCATCAATGTCATCATTCACATCTTGGAACCTAAGCCACAACTTTCTCAGAATTTCAATCCCATTTGATCCAATCGGGTTGGGTCTGGTGCTTCAAAATCTGAGATGGGCTTTTTATGGTATTATCTCTCTAATGACTTATGGATCGGTACCTATCAATGTTTTCAAAGGCGAGGTATATAAGCGAGGCGTTTTTAGTAGCGCTATGCAATGTGTAAGCCTTGAAGCATTGAGGCGTAAGCCTTTTGAACATTAAGTTATTTTAATAAGAAAAATTTATGAATAATACAATACGATTAAATTGTACAACTAATTCTTATTCAACCATAACAATCTTTTAAATATAATCAAATATAAGTACTAATTGTCATTCAAAACATAATAATCAATCTCAAAACATAAAATATTTATTCAATATATATTTATTCAAAATGAAGAGAATTCTTGAAATTGATGGAGTTATCTGGTAAGGGTAGAAATTAGGGTTGTACACGTACTATACAATATATATATATAGTCCATGTGTTAATATATTAATTTAGAAAGAAAGAAAAAAAAAAAAAAAAAAAAAAAAAAAAAAAAAAAGGTTAAAGTACAAAAGCTACAGGTTGGAGTTAGGAAAGAATAAGAAAGATATTAATTCTTGCCTATTACAATAAAGGTTGTTTTTAAAACGATATTAAGAAAGATACAGCCGGTTGGACTTAAGAAAGATATTAATTTTTATTTTTCAACACCCTCCAAGTGAAACGACGTCGTTTCACTATAAGATTGTTTTTAAAACACTGCAACCAAAATGACGTCGTTTACAAATTAAACAAAAAAAAAAAAAAAAAAAAAAAAAAAAAAGATCGTCTTCCTCGCAGAAAATTTGCAGACTTTCAATTTCTTCCAGATCGAGTCGTTTCCAGATCTGCAACGCCTTCTCACGCCTTGCTTCGCCTTCTCACGCCTTGCAACGCCTTCTCAGCGCTAAACGTGCAACTCGCGAAACAGCCGACCGCCTCGGGCGTTTTCCTCCCGCCTTGCGCCGATGCGCGCTCCGGCGCGCGCGAAGGCATGCCTTTGAAAGCATTGGTACCTATTCCTAGAATCTACATATGTATAGGGTTTTGTTCTATATGTTAGGGAGGTTTTAGTTTTAGTGATTGGGTTTGTGAAATTTTATGTATACATTGCATAAACTAATGAATGAGTTCATAAGTGGAGAACGGAATTAAACGGCAGTTAGTTTGGAAAAGAAAGGCCCAAAACTTATTAATCTTATCTGGTATAATATGATGAACCACTAGATTAATGGAGTGGACCAAATTTTATGAAATGCACCAAAATGCTTGATAGCTAAATGTAAAGTTTCGGGATCCCTCTTTTTTTAATTAAAAAAACTCCTAGTTTGCAAGCTTTTTAATTGCCCCCTTCTATTTGTAATAGCTCAGTTTGGCCAAGAGAGTAAAAAGATATATATATTCTTGTGCTTCTGCATACGCGTCTTTGCATTCATAAATCAAACCAGTAAATTCTTTATAGATATTTTCTTACCGATGGGCGAAGCACATTGATTGATTGGGGGAAGCAGGGAAGCTTGTCACATAAAGGAAAAACGTAGTTCATTTTATTATTCAGCATTTGTTATGTATGAACTTTTAACGTAATCTAACAAAGACGAGAGATCGAGAGTCACAAGATCAAAACATTCTCGCTCCTTGTTGTTTTATAAACACAATCGAAGATTCTTAATTACGCAGAAAAGTAGAAATAACAGAACATTCCAATGGATAAAACATCACGCGCACACACTTTATTTCTTATATCCATGCACATACTACTAAAATACTAATATACTGGTGGAGATGAGACTGATGTGAGGTGATACTAAGGTGGTGGTGGAGGGCCAGGTGGTGGTGGAGGACCAGGTGGTCCTGGAGGAGGTGGATGCCCTGGAGGGGGTGGACCAGGAGGCCCTGGTGGAGGTGGTCGTGGCGGTGCGGGGCCCGGTGGTGGAGGAGCAAACGGGTCTGGCGGTGGTGGGGGTCCTGGTGGTGGGGGTCCTGGTGGATGATGGTGAGGCATATCTCTGACGAGGCCTTGCGCTAAATGAACTATTAATTTGTGAGTTTCAAGTGTGTATGATGAGTTAGCATTTAGCACAAAACTTGCTTATAAATGGGTTGAAAGAAGTGTGTAGAAACCTGCAGAAGATTCTAGAGACTGGTAGTTGTGACTTGTGGGTAGAAAACGTGTAAAAGTTAAACCATGGGACATCATTTTTAAAGAAAATATGCTCCATTAACCATTACTTTACAGCGTACCTTAATCCAAACAATTTCTTAATTGACTGGTATTTTACACATTTGAAAATAGCCGACCAGAAAGCACACAGACAAACCGACCATTTATATGTACACGTGTTAACAAAACAAGATGAGGTTTCGTGAAGATATGAAGATCGATATTTCATGCCAAGAAATTCAATGCATGATTTTTTTGTTGACTATAGTAGGGTAGCCACGTGTAATCTTGTGACTGGTGAACTTGGAAAAATTCTCTCTCCTGGTTGTTGTGATCTGCTGCACACGCGTATTAGTCACATGGATGGATGAGATGAGATGGTATGAGATGAGAAAGATGGGTTTGGAAATAACCAAATATAGCGCTAAACCTAATAAACCACAACCACTGGTCAAGTTTCGTGTGGCATTTGTTTCATATGATCAATTCCCATGGTTAACAGAGGAGAGGAGAACCACTACTCGCCAACTTCTTTGCGTGGAAGGGTTAAGCACATTTGGCGAGACTGTAATGAGGTATTATAATGAGCAGAGCAGGTCGTTAATAGTCATCCGATTAAAGTTCATTATTATTTATTAGTACTAAGTTTGTAGGGAGCATTTTGCTCACCACTTTAATCCAAGTTATACTTTCATCACCATCCTTAACACTTGACACGTGTCATGGACATAACTATAGTTCCATAAAACAAAGCAAGGAGTTAACTATGGTTATGTCTAAGGTCTAAAATATTGATGATTTCGGAAATATCGGTGGTCCAAAAACACGAAAATTTTGATGGAAATATTGGGAAACTATCGATATCGGTAAAAATTGAATAAAAACCATGGAAATTGTAAGAAAATTTTGAAAAATTGTATTGAAACTTTGAGGATGTTTATTTAGTCAATTATCTATTAATTTATCACAAAAAATTGTAAGGAAATGCTTTGCACGGTGGGTTAACAGATTTAAGTTGATTATATAGTGAGCTGACAAATACTACGAGCGTAGAAAATATGTAGTAATTTATGAAATAAGATTAAACACACCATAATCATTTACTACAATATTTTACACTTTATACATTGCATGGTAAGATACATTAGTGATTTAGTACCATATAGAGTTACTGTGATGTTCAAATTTTTTACTGTCTTCATCATCTCTATGTGTAGAGTAATTGTATTGTGAAGAATAGTCATCAAATGATAAATCCCCAAAATAGTTTTGCATGTATTTATTAACATGCCACCCATATGGATCCGAGATTGGTTGATGGTGTCCATATAGCGATATTTTGATATTTTTGATACTTATCGATATTATCGCAATATTTTGACTAAATGTTGTTGAAGCGTGTGAGAAATTATCAACGTTGATATTTTTCGATATTATCGATAATTATACGATATGTGTATGAATATATTCCAAAATATCCTAGACCTGAAAAAACTAAAATATTATCGATATTTCGTCGATATTATCAATATTTTATACCTTGGTTACAATAAAAAAAACTTGTATATCAGGAGGTCAGTATTGATATGTTATCCCTAATCAATAATGTTTTGGCAGATAATTTTTCTACATGACAGAATTTGATTAATTAAAAATAGCAAACTAAGGTTATCACTATGCCAAATTTTACTTTACACAACACCACATAGGCATCAACAAATCTAAAAACCGATGCTGTTAGCATCTTAGGCATCGATTTTATAATTAATAAGACTAAAAAGGTATAAAGGCATCAGCACAAATTTTTGACGTTTCTTACCGATACCGTTGATTATACTTTAGCATCGATGATATATTATACTGATGCGTAAAATAATTTTCAAGAAATTTGTTTTAAGTGGAATATTTTAGCACTGATGCCAAAACCAGGGTTGACCGCTACAGTGATTATTTTGGGCAAAAAATTTTCACTTCCTCGCAAATATTTCAAATTCCCTTTGGTATTTTTTTTGGCCAAAACTTAAAACTCTTTCATCCCTCTGTATTCTCTCTTGTGATGCCTACACTGTCCCTCACAAATTTCACTCTCCTTTAAAAAATTTCAGAATTTCCCCAAAAATTTGAGTCTCCCTTACGAAAATTTTACTCTACACGCCCTCAATTGAAATCGAACTCCAAACTCTATCTTCTCTCTCTCTCTCCTGTCTCCTCCATCTGGTATGTTCTCTGTCGCTCTTCTTCCCCATCTCCTCTTGTTTTGATCTTTTCTATCTTCACTGCTCTCTCCATCTCTAATCCCTCCTCTCACAACTCTCGGTATCGTGGCTCTCTCTCTCTTTCTGACAAATGTCTCTCAGATTCTGCAATAGCAAGGTTAGGGTTTCAGTTTTCAAAAAATTTCATTTTGTATTAATCTGAAACTCTCCATTTCATTCTCCTTAGTTCAACAGATTTTCTCCTCCCAGATCTCGTCCAATGGCAGTCAGGTGTTGTTTCTCAATTCTTCTCTCCTCTCTTCTTTTCATTTATTTTAGATATATATTAATTATATTTTAAAAATGACTGATTATTAATGTGATTAATCATTTATATGATAGTTGTGGTATCTATCTGGGTTCTGACAACTGATGGTTCTTTGGTTTTGTTTTCACAGGAAATTGGGGAAAAAACTGAAGTTTAAAGACCTGTTGGTGATGGATTAGGATGGAATTTAATTTTCTGATTCTGGGTCTTGGTGGTGACGGATTATTGCAGAGATTAGTTCAACACCAGCCGACGCAGTATCCGACATCAGAAGAGTTAAGCATTGGGAAAATCAAGTTCAAGGCTTTTGATTTGGGTGGCCATCAGATTGCTCGCCGAGTTTGGAAAGATTATTATGCCATGGTATTGTTGATGATATAATGTAAGAGGTTACATTGATATACCTGTTACATATATGAACTGTTTGAACTTTAGTATGCTCAATGAGAAGCTTTGTTCTTGTATTTGGCAATAGTGATTTCTGAAGGAAAGATTCAAAGTCCCTGAGTGCATGGAGTCAAGTTTGGGGATGTTTGTGCCTCCATAATCCCAGATAAAAACTTTTAGTGTTTTTATCTGATTCATGGGAGGCAGATATAAGTAATGGCATTTTCTACAAAACTCAATTTTTTTTTATTTAAAAAAAATATGTAATTTATTATGGGCTGGATTTTGAGAGCTAATAATATTTACCTAGGTCCATTGATAAGGTTTAATGATTTCATGTCCTTTGACTTATGGGCTTGTTTCTTCGTCTACCTTTGCCTTGTGTAGGTATTAGTTGAAGTAGGAGAGATGTACTCATAGATTTGGAATAGAGGGCAAGTTGGCGTCTCATTTAATTAGCTTATTGTTCGGTTGTGATGCTTCCTAGTTTGAGATACTGGATACTATAATTTACATGTTATTCAGTAATAATAGAGGAACCAACTTATTACGTTTTGAACGCCAAGACAATCTTTCATTCGAACTTGAGACAATCTTTCATTCGAACTTGTGTCAAAAAGTTGGTGTAATTAATTGGTATTATTAGTTTTTTAGGACAAGATTTTACAAAATGATGTTTCCAAACAAACAACTTAAAGTTGAACTCCAATCAAATAAAACATATATAATTTATTACTTCATAGTTACAGTAATTAAGCAAGCACTTCTCTTCTCTTGTTGAAAACAAGAATAAAATCCACGCAGCGGTAGACGGACCAGCCTACAGCATCACTCATCCAAAATAGCACAACCTGCGCATTAGTTAAAAATTTATCTGTTAATTCCGAAAGTTCATCTGTCACTGTTGATTGTAATGGCTTTCTTTTGGCCGGTGGACATGACCTCAGCGAAACACTAAGAATTCCATTTGCATCGATAGAAAAGCAAACATCTACTTTACCAACTCCCTTAGGGGCTGGAGGAATGCCATACATGGTAAATCCACCCAAGTAATTATTATCTCTAGTGAACTCATTCTCTCCCTCGAAAACTCCACAGAGGACGTTCGTTTGGTTGTCATGGAGGGTAGAGAAAATTTGGTGCTTCTTTGTGGGAATTTTGGTGTTTCTTGGGATCATGAGGGCCATACGGTTTTCACGACCACATTCCGTCCCGAGTGACATTGGGATGACATCCGAGAGTGTGAAGTCTTGAAGCTTCCCCGTCACGTTCCCACTCAAGACTGCAGCTTGAACAGCGGCTCCATAAGCCACGGCCTCATCGGGATTAATGCTCTTGCACAACTCCTTGCCCATGAAAAACTTCTGCAATAGCTCTTGCACCTTGGGGATTCTAGAAGAACCACCAACAAGAACAACGTCATCGACGTTGCTTCTGTCCAGTTTGGCATCCTTCAAACACCTTTTCACAATCTCCATGCACTTGTTGAAGATATCCATGTTCATTTCTTCGAATTTGTCCCGGGTGAAAGTTGTACGAAAATCTTCACCGTTATGCCAAGAGTCGATTTCAATATCAATGTCAAAGCAAAATAAAAGTGCCTCCTTTGCTCTCTTACACTCGGTTTTGGCCTTCCGAAGAGCTCTGGGGTGTCCACAAATGTCTACCTTATTTTTTGTCTTGAATTCGTTGACGCAGTAATCCACCATTCTGTTATCCAAGTCTTCACCTCCGAGGTGAGTGTCTCCGGCAGTCGCCTTCACGTCAAAGACACCACGGCCTATGGTTAGTAGCGACACATCCAATGTACGACCACCCCAATCAAATATCATCACGTTTCTCTTATTAAACCAACCGGCTTTCTTGTCGATGCCATAAGCTATGGCTGCAGCAGTTGGTTCGTTGATAATACGCAGCACATTTAAGCCGGCTAATTTACCAGCTTTTAGTGTAGCCTGGCGCTGAGAGTCGTTGAAGTAAGCGGGGACAGTGATAACTGCCTTTTTCTCACTAATCTTTGAGAGAAAGAAGTCCTCCGCAATCTCCCGCATTTTTACCAGAACCATTGATGAGATATCTTCAGCAGCAAACTGTTTCTCTTGGCCCTTGTGCTTATCCACAATCACGGGCTTGTCATCCTTACCTTCAATGACCTTGAATGGCCAGCGCAGCAGCGCTTGATATCACTTTGAACAGTTTCGTCACTGAATCTCCTACCAATTAACCGCTTCGCATCTGTAAATCATTCCCGTTTAGATTATGTCAGGAAACAAGTTAATTTATGGATTTATGCATAATACCCCACTTTTACAGAATTGCTCTAAAAAAAACACAGTACATATTTCTCAGTTCTAACGAAATTAACAAGGAAACAATGAACAATTATACTGTTGATCATTTTATTCTTACCAAAGATTGAGTTGGTGGGGAATCTCCCGATTTGGAGAAATGCTTCATCACCTACCAACGTCTTGCTATCAGTGAATGTAACATAAGATGGAGTTCTCCTGTTACCGTGATTGTTCACCAGGATTTCTACACGATCAGCCTGCCACGTTGCCACACACGAATAAGTTGTCCCCAGATCAATCCCAATTGCATGGTTATCTTCTGCCATTACTAATTTTCCCGATTGGCTCAAAAGCTCCAAGAGGAATGTCAAAGATTAACAAGGAAATATTAAATAAGTGCAGAAACCAGTGGAAGAAAATTTATACACGGAGAAAGTGAAAAGTCAAATAAACCAATGCTTACGCAATAGCTGATGCTTTGCCCCAGTTCACTAAACAAAGCACATTTACTTTTTTAGATTTCGAAATGAGATAATTCCTTTCTTCGGATCTTTATCATACGTTTGTTGCTTCAAGGTCTTTTATTCCTTTCTTCTTATCTTCTTCTCCATTATTTTATTTCTTTCTTCAGCCAGAGGGTAAGGGGAGTTGCCATCCAACAGCCTTATGCTGTCCTCTCAGCTCCCCAAATTCCTCCTCCAGACAAAGAGACAACAAAAAATAGCAGCCCCACATAAGTGCACCATGAAAACCTGGTCAAGTGACACATGCCCCAAAACATTGAATGTATTTTTGGTCACCACTTTAGCTCAAGGTATATCATTACTGCCAAGTACGGACCCAGAAATCTTACCTTATGAGGTTATAGTGTAAAAGTTTGAAATTTTTTATATATCAAAATAACATTAGAAATGAAACGTTCATTCATAATTCATATAAAAAAAACAACATTACAAGCTACAATTGTCTACGACGAGATTTCATATTTTGAAAACGTAGCATTATAGCTTCATTTTTAATACAAGCAAAAACATCATTCTCAACGTAAACAAGCAAATTATCACTCAACCATTGATCTCCCATTTTGTTTCGAAGTAATAACTCACACAGGGCCGTCCCTGAGATTTTGAGGGCCCTGTGCGAAACTTAAATTGGGGCCTCAGATAATCTTATACGAAAATACTATAAATAAAAATTTATCATAACTTAATGTTATAAACAATTTTTTTATAACTAAAAGTTACCATCAATAAACATATAATGACAATCAGAAATCCAATTCATAAAAATTTAAATGTTTTCATTTGATAAAATTAAATGAAAACAAAAACATACCTGACTATCCAAAAATCAATCGCATTGTATTTGCTGTCTTTATTTGAAGAATTAAAACTATTACGAGAGCTTTTTCCTCAAAAGAAAAAAAAACACACAACTAGTACAATACTAATGTTGAAAATTGATCTTCTTGAATTTTTTAAAAGAGAAATCATTAATCAAATGTTGATAATCGAGTTTTTCAAGAAGGATATATATACTCTTGGTGGTTAGCTTTGATGTTTCCCCTTTTTTTTAAGGTGTTTCTGTTTTTTTTTATTTTTATAAAAATAATTATGTACAGCTTGTTTGTTATAATGCCAAAAAAATATATAAAAAGGCAAATAGCTGTTGAAGCCCAAAAAATTCATGGTTAGGCCTGAATAAATTATCAGCCCAAAACGACACTCCATTAAGGAAAAACGTATAGCGGAGTACACGAAAACCCGCCACATGCGAGTTGTAGTTCACGTGCCATGCTAAATAAATTAGCCATGCTAGGGGTTGAGATAAAATATACCGGCTTTACAAGCCCATGCCAAACTTAAACATCGCAGTCCTTCCTAAGGACAATAAAATTAAAACATGTCAAGCACAAAATCGTTATCTCACACCCAACTACGCTACAAGCCTAAGTGGGCCCAAGCCACTCAAATGCCCGGGGCTTGCTTGAGTGAGTGATGGTATGGATGGTAATGAATCAACACGAGGCCTATTGATGGGCCGAGAAATGGAAAGTCTCGGGTTGCTTAGGAGCCTCGAGACTCAAGCCCATTTCTTAGGCCCAAACATGTGGGTGAGCACAAGAGAGAAAAATAGACCAATAGCCCAAGCAAAATAGCCTATTGACACAACCCAAAAGCCCAATGTTTAACAAAAATAGCCCACTTGCTTAAGGAACCACTTGGCCCATGCAAAACTCCAAAATAAGCCACAAAAGCCTCAGCCCTTTGTTGGAAAAGTAAAAGCCACATAGAAAAGGGTTTGCAGGTTTATTGAACAGAGCTACTGGGAGGGAGCAAGTTTCAAAGCCAAAACATGCAAGCAACCAAGGGGTATTAGCGTGCAACACTCTTCGAACCAGCATATATATCCCAGCTCATTTTCCCATCAGACTTAGCCATGGAAAAAAGGGAAGAAAGCAATAAAAGAGATGGCTAGGAATGGAAGTCTGCCATTGAGACAACTGCGGGAAAAAAGGGCCTTGAGCTTCAAAAACTCTTATCTGGTGCAAATAGATAGAAGAGATTTCATCAAAATGGGAAAAACCATGGGAGGAGATAGAAAGGAGGGAAAAGCTTAGCCAAAATGGGTAGAAGCCATTAGGGTTTCTTGAAAAATGGTGGTTTCCAGCGGCTATAAATTGAGGCTTCTCCTACCTAACAAATGCAACCCACGCCTAGATAGCAAGCTTCCTCTCATACCTGCAAAAGCCCAGCAACCTCATGCATTGTTCACCATCTTCTCCATTCTTCTATTCTGGCAGACAGAGTATCTGTCAAGTTGCCAGAAGAGCATTGTTCTTTATTTCTCCCTTTTCTTAGCCAAATCTCTCACAAAACTTCTCCTTTCTTACCCTAACACTTCCTCTTCCCTCAAAGCAACCCTAAATTTCCTCTTAGTGCTAAACTCATGTTGATTTTGCTTCCATGCCACATGCCTCTCATGCCAAGCTTAAAATTTTATCTGTAAGCATGCATAAATTATCTGTAAGTTGCCATTGTTTTGGCTGGTAAAGGTAACCAAAATATTTCCTAAGGCTTTGCTGCCCTTTCGAAGTATTTTTGGGGCTTAATTTTCGAACTTAGGAAAAGGGGACAATTTCATCAGTTTGCCCTTTTGCGGTAGCCCAACCCATTTTAGCTACCGGAAGAAAAAGTCCCCCACATAAATTGGTGACTCTGCTGGGGATTAGGCCATTATCTTCACCGATGCCTCCAAGGAAGAAAGCCAGAAGCAACAACATGACCTCTCAAGACGGGCCAAACCATGGTGACTTGGAATCAAGGCAACATGCCTCCTCAAGAGAAGACGAACGTCATAGTGAGGGAGCTTTCACCCTCACAAACATTGTTGCAGCCATCCATTCTATGGGAGAGACTCAGAAGGAAATGGCAGAAACAATCAAAGAGCTGAAAAGTTCAATTGCTAAGCCGAGAGAAGAAAACGAGAGGCTTCCACAAGAGGAGCCTGTCGCTGCCAGAAAAAGTTCTGAACAAAAAGAGCCATCATTTGTCACTCACGAAGATGTCATTGCCATCCTAGAAAAGAAACTAAGCCGAAGTCAGGAAGATTGGAAGTATCTTCCTCAGCCACCATACCCATCGAGCTTACTCCAGCAACCCTATCCTAAGGGCTATGAGGCACCAAACTTTGTTCTCTTCAACGGAAGGAATGAGAGCCCGAAGGAGCATGTCAACCGCTTCATCGATGCTTTGGGACCACATGTTGGAGATTATAATCTTCGACTTAGAGAATTTTCGAAGAGTCTTACCGATCGTGCTTACACATGGTATATGACGTTGGCACCAGGTTCTATTAGCTCTTAGGAGGATTTGGCAAGCAGGTTCTGTAAGAAGTATTTTCAGCATGAAGAAAGGGTTACCACAACTTAGCTCAACAACACTCGTCAAAAACATGGCGAGGATCCCGTGGACTTTGTGCCCAGATTTCGGGACCTGGCGTTGGATTGCTATAATGAGAAAGATGAGGAGGCGCTTGTTGGAATTTGCATCAGCAATATTGTGGCAGATTATAGAGTTTATTTAGAGAATATTGGCATTAGTTAATTTTCTCGGCTTCTGGAAGCAGTAAGGAAGACGAGCATGTCTGTCAAACCAGCGAGGACTTGGAAGAGCGATAAGAAGGAGACATACCAAGCATTAGCCAGAGGTGACAAACCATCCGACGACTACAACTCACGCAAATGGAAGGATAGGGAGACATATCCACCACCACCATGCAAAGATGAAGAATTTCATGCCATCCTTGACACGATGATTGCTGACGGAGCAATCAGGCCTCTTAGACCCTACAAAATTCATACTAGAGAGGAGAAGAATGATCCTAGGTACTGCCGTTATCATCAATTTGTGGGGCATCCAACTACTGCCTGTTAGAGTCTAAGGAGGATTTTACATGCTAAAATACATAAGGGAGTCCTTGAGCTTCTCTCTAGGAAGCAAACAATAGATGAAGACCCCTTGCCAAAACGAAGGGGAAAAGAGGTAGCTGCTGTCATTACATGTTCTGATGATTTGCTTGATGATGACGAATTGTGCCACCCATGGAGGAATGACCTAAAGCCGTTGGAAGCTATGTGGGAACCTTGCGGAAACATGGAGAAGGCATATTGGTGTAAATATTTGAAGCATGCAAGCTACAACATGCCATGCCCGCTCGCTGATGGATGGGGTGACGACTCAAGCAATGAAGTTTTCGTCCTGGACATGCCGGAAGAATGCTACTCGGGGGCTTCATTGGGATAACATGAAATAGCTGCTGTAACATTTCATAACCTTACAGAGGCTGAAACAGGTGTGATGGAACGATATTTAAGTCTGAAACAGGGGCCCATAGCTTTGCAAATCCTCTAAAGAAACCCGAAATTCAAGTCACTCTTTGACCAATTTGGCTTTGGGCCTCAAACTAGAGAGGTAGCTGTTGTAGCTCTCATGAACATCTCTACAGAATCCGATCCTCATTGCTTCACCGCTCAACCACAAAGGTCATTTTTAGGAAATGACAATGCTATCGTCTTCACAGACGAGAACATGGAAGTTCCATACACATAGGAGGCCACTTTATTTGAAGGGACAAATCAACGATGTGTTTATAAGAAGAGCTTTGGTAGACACGGGCTCCTATGTCAATATAATACCTCTGTCTGTGCTTATGGCAGCTGGTATTCCATTATCCAAAATCGTGCAATCTCAAACAAGCATTTGCGGTTTCGGGAATAAGAGTAAGATCATGGTCGGACACATGCAAGTAAACTTGAAGGTGGGGCCAATCCGATCACTTACCAAGTTTTACGTGGTAGATGTGAATGTGGCTTACCATGCTTTGCTTGGAAGGCCATGGCTCAACAAGCATAAACTTGTAGTCTCTATTTACCATCAATGCGTGAAGGGAAGGATTGGGTTGAGGCCATTCCGCATACCTGGAAACCAAGCACTGTTTAACAAAAACGAAGCTCACTACTCCGAGGCAGAATTTTACACCGAATGCACAGGCGCTGGAAGCAAACCATCCAATGATTTCGGGACCTATCTCCCTTCATGGACTGAAATTCATGATCTAAGCAACGAGGAGCTCATCACCACTGTTGATCGAGAAAGAAAGAGGCACTCGGAGGTCAACAAACATGCCTACGACCATCCTCAATGCTCAAAGGCGACGCTGCCAGATGGGCGCATAATGTATCGCTTATGACGGGATTGGGGGCTTAACCGTGTCCTGCTGGAAAGCCCCGAATATGGAGGAGAAGCAATGCAAGCGAACAGCCATAAGGATCCAGATGACAAGGCATCCACGCCTTGTGCTTTCCAAGAGCCAATGACAGCACATAGACACATGCAAGATGGATCAACATCAGTAGCTGAGCAGCTGGAAACAATTGATTTGAGTAAAGATCCCTCTGCCCCAAGACCCATCTCCATCAGTGTTCAATTAACAAGTGAAGAGAAGAAGCCTTGGTATCTCCATAAGTCATACTTTGAATATTGAGCTTGGTACAAAACCTGTTGTGCAGCCAAGGAGGAATTTTCATCCTAAAATTGAAAAACAAATCAAGGTGGAAATTGAAAAGTTGTTAGCCATTGGATTCATCAAACCAATCAAGAATCCAACATGGCTAGCAAATATTGTTCCCGTGAAAAAGAAGACCGGAGTAATTAGAATATGCACGAACTATCGAAACCTCAACCGAGCTTGCCCAAAGGATGAATTCCCACTGGCCAACATGGATGTATTGATCGATTCAACCTCGGGTCAAGGCTTGCTGTCATTCATGAATAGGTTTAGTGGCTATAATTAGATCAAGATGTCACCCAAGGATGCTGAGAAGACAGCCTTTCGAACTCCATATGAGAATTTTTATTACACGGTCATGCCATTTAGTCTCAAGAATGCTGGCATTACCTATCAAACTGCTACGACAGCAGTGTTTCATGACATGATGGGAAAATAAGTGGAAGACTATGTGGATGATCTTGTGGTGAAGTCAAAAACTAAGGAAAGCCATCGAGAAGTTTTGGGAAGGGTGCTAGAAAGGTGCTGGCTGTACAGGCTGAAGATGAATCCAAAGAAGTGCGCTTTTGGAGTTTCATCTGATAAATTCTTGGGGTTTCAAGTACACCAGCGTGGCATACATGTGGATCCTGAAAAAACTAAGGCCATAAATTCTCTTGCGCCACCTACAAACTCAAAGGAATTAAAAAGCTTCATGGGGAGATTTTCGTATATTCGACACTTCATCCCTAGTCTTGCTACCACCATGAGTGTTTTTACTCCCTTACTTAAGAAGGGCAAGCCGTACGAATGGAGCAAGAGGTGCCAAGAAGCCTATAAGCAAGTGCAACAAATAATCACCAAGCTGCCCACCTTGAGAGCACCTATTCCGGGACTTCCACTCAAGCTTTATTTGGCTGCGACAAACACAGCGGTTGGGGCTTTGCTTACCCAAGATGATCATGGTGGGGAAGAGAATCCCATTTATTATGTGAGTAGGCAATTAAGGGGAGTTGAAACGAGATACCCAAAAACCGAACTCTTGTGCCTTTCTCTTGTCTTTGCTGCACAGCGCTTGCGACATTACTTCCTTGCTCACAAGCTACGGCTCATAGTGAAGTCTGCCCCCGTAAGATACTTGCTCACGAGGCTTGTGTTATCTGGACGTCTTGCACGTTGGTTGCTATAATTGTCCGAATTCGATATCACATACCCCACTCCAAAAGCCATCAAAGGACAAGCCGTGATTGACATACTGGCTCTATTTCCTGAAGTAGAAGAATCGATGCTTTCTAAGGAGGTTCTGGGGGAACTGCCGGAAATAGTTGCTGTTGTTACGGAGGAGGAACCATGGACCCTATGTTTTGATGGGTCTTCTACATCAAAAAGTGGAGGCGCATGTGTAGTGCTCATTAATCATGAGGGGCAAGCTAAGGCCCTCTCGTTCAAGCTAAATTTCTCATGCACAAATAATACGGCAGAGTATGAGGCTTTCATTATGGGGATGTCTACAACAAGGGAGATGGGTGTAGAAAGAATTAAAATTATAGGGGACTCAAATATGATGTTGAGTCAATTACAAGGGAATTTTACTGTGAAAGAGTCAACATTGGCGTCATATTGTACAACTGCTAAAGGGCTTGTTCATTCTTTCAAACAAGTTATGTTGGAACATATTTCAGGGGTTACTAATAGATATGCTGATGCATTGACTACTTTGGGATCGAAGCTTTCATTTGTTGAAGAACAACCCTACATTGCCGTGATCAAGAAAGACATGCCAGTGATCGAAGAAATGGCTCAAAAGCAGCCGCTGGAAGAAGGTGGCTGGTGGAAACTTGTGAAGGAGAAGATAAGGAAGGGAAATGACATCAAGGAGTTAAAAGATTATGATATCATCTTTGGGGAACTGTACAGACGCCTTCTAGGAGGTATTTTGACCCGCTGCATAAGGTCAGCAGAAGCACGAGTGAAGCTCCAAGAAGTACATGATAACACTTGCAATTTGGAACCGATAATCATTTGTATCGACGTCTGCAACGCAAGGGTTATTACTGGCCAGAAATGAAGAAACAAGCAGCTGAAGTTCAAGCCAATTGTCTCAAGTGTTCAACAATACCATCCATTGAAGAATCATTCACCATCTCATTCGCGGAGGATTGGAAGGCTCCATACTTGGCATTCTTCATTGAATGCTCGCAAGCTTAAAAAGACAGTAAAAAAATACTTCGTAGATGGGTCGACTCTCTATCGCAAAGGGTTCAATGGTGAACCATTAAAATGCTTGGGGGAATAAAAAAAACAGCAAGTTATGCAGGAAATTCATGCTGGAGAATGTGGTGAACTCCAAGGAATGAAGTGGCTTTATCGACAGTTGCTAAATGTTGGGTATTATTGGCATACTATGAAGAATGATGCATACAACTTCGTGAAGAAGTGCCACACAGGCCAAGTCCATGCCAATCTAAGTCACAAGCCTCCCACGTTGCTGCAGGACATGCGCACTCCTTGGCCCTTTCACACTTGGGGGCTTGACTTGATCAGGACTATCCATCCACTGTCTGACGGTTACATATGGATCCTCACAGCCACTGAATATTTCACAAAGTGGGTTGAGGCGGTTTCTCTTCGAAAGGCTAAGGGGCTGCCATCGCAAATTTCATCCGTGAATACATCGCGTGCAGATTCGGAATCCCATACAAGATCGTCACCGACAATGGTACCCCGTTTGTTAACAAGCAAGTGAGTTTGACGCTTAGTGGCTATAGTGTCAAGCATCGTTGCTCCACGCCCTATTACCCACAAGGAAATGGTCAAGCAGAGGCCACAAACAAGACTTTATTGAGGATCCTAAGCAAAATGGTCTATGAGAATGAAGGAGGTTGGAGTGTTCACTTGCCGGATGCTTTATGGGCTTACCGCACCTCTCCAAGAAGTGCCACAGGTTTCTCGCCTTATTCACTTGTGTATGGGTTCGATTCCATTTCACCGGTAGAGATTACCATCCCCACTGCCCGAGTATCAGCTGTTAATGACCTGGAATGGGATACAAAGTCATGCTCGGATTGGCGCCTGTTGGACCTCGAAGCTTTGGATGAAAAAAGAGCGGAAGCCGAAAGGAGGACATCGTTGTACCACAAAACTGTAGCCCAAGCTTACAATAGGACAGTCAAACCTCGATCCTTCAAGCAAGGAGACCTCGTGCTAAAAGTCGTGGAGCATGTAAGAAGACAAGTGTCCGGACCTTCCAAGTTTGCCCCGCAATGGGAAGGCCCATTCACAGTCAAAGAGGTTTACAGCAGCGGCTATTATTGCTTGGTCTCTGTCAAAGAAGGCACGCTGACGGATCCCATCAATGGGAAGTGACTCAAGCCTTACTACTACTAAGTTAATTTTATGCCCAGCAAATATCATGCCCAGCAAATAACATGCACTTAGCAGTAGAATATGCCAAGCTACTTGAATGGGATCCCAAATTGTCAACAAATATCATGCCCAAGCAAAATAATATAAGAAAGGCAAAGCCAAGCTGTTACAAAAAAATCATGCACACGCTAGTCTAATCCCTCTTAGACATAACAAGAAAGTGCTTTTTCAGGGCCAGTGGTTATACAAAATTTTGGGCAGCATATACATTGTTTTTAAGGGTATCCAACCCGTCAGGAAATTTCAAACAGTTCACAAAGATGAATTTTGCCAACCAAGCAATATATATATATATATAAGACATGCGAAATTACAACATGCCTCAAGCATTCAGAAATTAATACAAGCTTCAGTGGTTCAATACCAAATTACAAAGTCATAATGACGTAGTCGTTAAAATGTCAAAAAAACAAAAAACAAAAAAACAAAAAAACAAAAAAACAAAAAAACAAAAAAACTACAGTCAAAGCAAGATAAAACTACACATGCTAAAGATCCATGCGCCAAGCTAATTGGTTACCAAGCCAAGGAAAGACAAATTGCAAAAAGAAAGAAGGCTTTGAACGCCACGAAGGAATTCTCTCAATCTTACCAAGACATGTTTCCCTCGGATAAATGCCCTATAGAGGTGAGAACATCACTGTTCTTGTGGCTGTTATCAATAATCTCACCACGAGGTAGCACTGCCGGAAGTTGTGAAGAGGTGCCGGCAGCTGTGTCGGGTGTGCCCAGGAAAGGAGAAGTTGGAGGCAGCGCTGCGGGAAGCTGTGAAGAGGTGCCCGTAGCTGTATCAGGTGTCCCAAGGGGAGGGGAAGGAAGCGTATCCTCCGCCCTTTGTGAGATGCTCTTGATCTATATAAAAAAAAAAAAAAAAAAAAAAAAAAAAGAAAAAAAAAAAAAAAAAAAAGATAAAGGAATGAATAATGCAAATTATCGGACCCAAGTTCATGACGAACAAAGTTCTTATCCTGTGGGTCAATAAGCATGACAAGCAAATTCCCTTCGGGACAAAAAATAGAGCGTTGCAAGACATGCGAGAATGAAGTCTACAAATTAATCAAGCATGTGTTCACAAGGAGAGTAAGCCTAGGCCAAGCACCAGTCTATGCTTATTCCTGGAAATATTCAAATTGGCAGAGTTACTTACCAAAAGACTAAAGCAGAAGCCCCAAATATCCAAGTTAGAAGGCTGGAGGATTTGAAGGTTCCAGCGGTAGAAACATCAAAGGCTTCCAGAACCTACCCCACCTATGCCTGAGACGTATGCACCTGCACAAAAATAAACAAAAGAGAAAGCACATCATGCCAAGTTCAGCATTTTCATATACAAAGAAGAGGTCAGTGCAAGATAAAAGTAAAGAAGAGGAAAAGGGGGACAAACCCAAGCTAACGGTCTCTTCTCACCAAATTTGGTACCTTTCCAGCAATTCGAGCAAATCAAAGAAAAGAGAACCTCAGAAGATGGATGAAAATCCTTCTCTGCTATCACCGACGCTATAAGCACCCACGTTGCTGTAATAACAAAATAGGTCTGTTGAGGCCCAAAAAATTCATGGTTGGGCCCGAATACATTATCAGCCCAAAACGACACTCCATTAAGGAAAAGCGTAAAGCGGAGTACACGAAAACCTGCCACATGCGAGTTGTAGTTCACGTGCCATGCTAAATAAATTAGCCACGCTAGGGGTTGAGATAAAATATACCGGCTCTACAAGCCCATGCCAAACTTAAACATCGCAGTCCTTCCCAAGGACGATAAAATTAAAACATGCCAAGCAATATGCCATGCCAAGCACAAAATCGTTATCTCACACCCAACCACGCTACAAGCTTAAGTGGGCCCAAGCCACTCAAATGCCCGGGGCTCGCTTGAGTGGGTGGTGGTATGGATGGTAATGAATCAACACGAGGCCCATTGATGGGCCGAGAAATGGAAAGTCTCGGGTTGCTTGGGAGCCTCGAGACTTAAGCCCATTTCTTAGGCCCAAACATGTGGGTGAGCACAAGAGAGAAAAATAGACCAATAGCCCAAGCAAAATAGCCTATTGACACAACCCAAAAACCCAATGTTTAACAAAAATAGCCCACTTGCTTAAGGAACCACTTGGCCCATGCAAAACTCCAAAATAAGCCACAAAAGCCTCAGCCCTTTGTTGGAAAAGTAAAAGCCACGTAGAAAAGGGTTTGCAGGTTTATTGAACAGAGCTACTGGGAGGGAGCAAGTTTCAAAGCCAAAACATGCAAGGAACCAATGGGTATTAGCGTGAAACAATCTTCGAACCAGCATATATATCCCAGCTCATTTTCCCATCAGACTTAGCCATGGAAAAAAGGGAAGAAAGCAATAAAAGAGATGGCTAGGAATGGAAGTCTACCATTGAGATAGCTGCGGGAAAAAGGGGCCTTGAGCTTCAAAACTCTTATCTGGTGCAAATAGATAGAAGAGATTTCATCAAAATGGGAAAAGCCATGGGAGGAGATAGAAATGAGGGAAAAGCTTAGCCAAAATGGGTAGAAGCCATTAGGGTTTCTTGAAAAATGGTGGTTTCCAGCAGCTATAAATTGAGGCTTCTCCTACCTAACAAATGCAACCCACGCCTAGAGAGCAAGCTTCCTCTCATACCTGCAAAAGCCCAGCAACCTCGTGCACTGTTCACCATCTTCTCCATTCTTCTCTTCTGGCAGACAGAGTATCTGTCAAGTTGCCAGAAGAGCATTGTTCTTTATTTCTCCCTTTTCTTAGCCAAATCTCTCACAAAACTTCTCCTTTCTTACCCTAACACTTCCTCTTCCCTCAAAGCAAGCCTAAATTTCCTCTTAGTGCTAAACTCATGTTGATTTTGCTTCCAAGCCACATGCCACTCATGCCAAGCTTAAAATTTTATCTGTAAGCATGCATAAATTATCTATAAGTTGCCATTGTTTTGGCTGGTGAAGGTAACCAAAATATTTCCTAAGGCTTTGCTGCCCTTTCGAAGTATTTTTGGGGCTTAATTTTCGAACTTAGGCATAGGAGACAATTTCATCAGTTTGCCCTTTTGCGGTAGCCCAGCCCATTTTAGCTACCGGAAGAAAAAGTCCCCCACAATAGGTGACTTCAATAAGAATCAAACAGAGGCACCTCTGTTGAGTGGAAACACGCTAGAAAGCCAACTCCACCACAAACGCTTTTGTAGAAACATTTAGCGCACTATAGTATATATACAATTCTTATAAATATTATATATAATTTTTTTTTCAGGGTCCCTGTGCGGTGGTGCCACTTGCACGACCCCAGGGCCGCCCCTGAACTCACATCAATTAAAGAGAACACTAAATTTATACCAATGAACTACAAAAAAATTCATAAATGAAACATCGAATAAATCAAAATAAAATAATAAAATAATAATTTCAATTCAATTAATTTAGGCTTAGAGTTAGAATTTACTTGAATTGTGAGGTGGTGGACGCAACAGCAAGCTTTTGGCAGCGGCAGCAATAATGGAGGAGATGGGGGTTAAAGGTTTTGTTGTGTGTGCGTGTGGGGGTGGGGGTGGGGGTGGGGGGAAGGGATGGAGGGTTCAGGACAAAAGAATTGGGGTTTTGGGAGTTGCTAGGATCGGTGTGGAGGGGTTTTAGAATAGCAGGGGCTGTTTTATTTATTTTTTTAAGACCTGGACCAACGACGTCGTTCTGGCTAGGTCATTTAAAAAAAAAGAAATTAGCTAGGCTAAAACAACGTCGTTTTGCCTAGCATTTTAACAAAAAATGAAGCAACGCGCTGCTTCTTATTCTTCCTTGCGCAGCAACCATTTCGTTCAAGCCAAACAACAAGCAAGTGGAGGGCATCCATGGGTCGCACAGTCAGCTTTAAGGGATGTTCAAGCTTATTTCCATGGAATCCATAAGGTCGTTTGACCTCATTGACCCCACTGTGGGTCCGTCCCTGATTACCACTCTTCTCAACACATGACACGTATTCATAAGCATAATCCTATTTTCACAAATATAAAGCAAAGAGTTAACTATCGTTATGTTTATGGACAAGCGTCAAGTATTGAGAATGATAATGAGGGTACACATTGGGTTAAAGTGGTGAGTAAAAATATTTCTCAAAAGATTTAATAAACATGGAAAGTTTGTCTCCTGCCAAAAAAAATAAAATAGAAAATATTCCCTCAAATAGGAGGACCCATTCTCCCCTAATAAAAAGCATCTGAACCCAAAAGCAACACTACTAGTGAGTTTAAACAAGAGAGGTTGTGGAACGGTGTTTATGTTTGTTTGTTTATTTTGTTGGTGAGTTTTTATTTAATTAGTATTTTGGTTCCTTATCGAAGATTGGGTTGGCAGGGAACCTCCCAACTTGGTTAAATGATTCATCACCTACCAACCTATCCTATGACATACAAGTTCTTCTCGTTAAAGGAGCTCTATACTCTCCTGTATCATGAGTCACTTTTAGAAAAGATAATGGAGCATAGCTTAGCATAACAAGCACTAGAGCTGCACTCAAAAGAGCACTAGCAAAAAGTGTCAAATTCATAAAGTGGCAAACACATCCATGCTTCCTCCAAGTTGATGATGACCATATATATTATATGTATATAAAAGAGACATCTCCATATATAGAGAACCATCAGCACTTGCAAGATCTAAAATATCAATGGTTTTGGAAATATCTGTAGTTCAAAAACACGAAAATTTCGATGGAAATATCGGGACATTATCGATATCGATAAAAATTGAATAAAAGCAACGGAAATTGTAAGATAAACTTGAAAAAATTTCTTGAAACTTTGGGAGATGTTTATTTAGTAATTATCTATTACTTTATCACAAAAAAATTGGAAAGAAATGCATTGCATGATGGGTTTAACTTATTTAAATTGATTACATAGCAAGCTGACAAACACTAGGAGTGTAGAAAATATGTAGTAATTAATGAAAGAAGATTAAACACAACCATAATCATTTATTTATAATGATTCACTACAATATTTTACACTTTATACATTGTATGGTAAAATACATGAGTGACTCAATACCACATAGAGTTTCTATAAGGTTCAAATTTGAGTGATTTATACTAACACGTCTTGAGGTTTTCGACTTTTTCACAAAACTCCTTGAGGTTTTATAAATTATAAGAACAACCCCTGAGGTTTTAAATTGTTTTCACAAAACTCATTTTCATTGATTTTTCATCCAAAGAGTGATAATTTAATACAAATAAATTCTCCAAATACAAAGTTGGCCCTTGAGTTTGAGATTAGATCGCATATACTTCATTGAGGTTAATTTTGTCATTTACATAAGTTTTTTTTTCAATGAAATCATAAATTTTTGAACAAACAATCAACGAGAAGAGGTTTTGTGAAAATAAACTAAAACGTTAGGGGGTGTTCGTGTAATTTTTTAGACCTGAGGGGGTTTTGTGAAAACACAAGAAACCTCAGGGGGCGTTAGTGTAAATAACTCTTCAAATTTTTCATTGTCTTCATCATCTCGATATTATCTATATTATAGAGATATTTTGGCCAAATGTTGTTTAAGTGTGAGAGAAATTATGGACGTCGATATTTTCTGATATTATCAATACTTATACGATATGTGTATGGATATGTTCCAAAATCCTAGACCCAAAAAAACGATAATATTCTTGATATTTTGTCGATATTATTGATATTTTAGTAATTATTTATGTCAATAAACACATGTCAAGTAGTGAAAAGGGTAATGATGGTATACCTTAAGTTAAAGTGGTGAATAAAAATATCTCCAAGTTTCTAATGATCCATGTGAGAGGCCCGTCCAACTCACATCACATTCCATGTCATCTCTGCATAAAATCCATGTGCCCTTCTTACTTTGGTAAAAGTACCAACTCTCATCCCGACTGATGGCGATTTACCTCTTCCGATATTGAAAGAGAAGTGTTAATCAAAATAAATAGATGAAGAAAAGTTGGAAGAATAGTTGGTGTGTCTGTAATTACTTTGCAATTTTTGTATTACTTACAAATAAACGTGATGCCCTATGCCCTCTTCATCCATTCCCAATTAGTTTTGAATTTGGATACTCTTTAATGTAACTTGATAATTCCTTGAGAACTGCGATTTGGTTTTGTCATATCTTTCTACAGAATAATCTGATAAACATGGCAGAAAATTTGTTTTATCAATCCATCGATTACTTTCTACAGAATGATCTGATAAACATGTGCTGTGTTTGATGAAGATATCTTCTTCATCACATGTCATTTGAGTTCGAGTAGAGATGATGTTCTCTGATGTAAACAATTACTTCATCTGCAGTCAGATATTTTATCGACAATCCTCTCGAAATGCAATCCCTGAAATACATTTGTAAGTTTTCAGTTCCTTCCACATTCCCCTTAATATGTTTGTCAATGAATCACATTGCCTTTACCTTACTCTTGTAGAACTTATTTGGTTAGGTACAAGTTCGTTCACGATTCTTATATTGCCCTGTAATAAAAAAGAGAAGAACTAACATCAAATGGACCAGAAAAGCAGTGGACTGTAAAGAACCTTCAAATCAAAACTATTCAAGAACTGCACTGTTTCAAACCATAACGAAACTTTCGATTTCACAATTTAGACCAATTTCGACCCTTGTGTACAATGCCAATTTGCATAATTTATGTTCAGAAGATACATAGGTGTAGAACAGAGAAATATCATTTTGGGTAATAGTTAATTGATCTAGGTGTGTAACTAAGAAAATTCAGTGTTTTACAACCACTGAATGACAATTTGATTGACTATTACAATATATGAGCCAAAAAGAACCAAAAAAATCAAGAGATGTGATTGATTACCCTGTTCTCTTTCAAAATTTCATCATTTGATATAACTTTATCAACATCTTGTCCCTCCCTGCGAATGCAAACCACACCATAATCTCTGCATATGCCTCTGACCTGACCAATAAGGACAAATGTTATGGTGGATTCGACCAGAAACGGACCAATTCAAAGGGATTAATTAAACCGTACCCCACTTCGAGTGTTATGGTACTTTGCATTATACAACAAAGATCCACCAAGTGCTCAGTTAATTTCTAGTCACACACCATACAACTCCATTCATGTGTGATTGTTGTTGGACATTATGACCAAATATTCTCCTAAGAATTATATTCAACACTTTTTAACGTTACTGAACTAAGATATGAGTAAAACTCTTCAGATGAAGTCGTCTAAAACTCCCCAGATGAAGTCGTCACATTCTATAGTAAGTTATTAATACAGGAAAAATGAGATGGTTATCTTGTAAGAATAAACTACACATGACCACTAGAATATAGAATTACAGACATACCTGTTCAGCAATCCAAACTCCAGGAATGCCAAAAGAGTGGAGTAGATCAGAGCCACACACAAGCATGCACTTAAGGGATTCTATTGAGAGCAGACACAGAAGTCAATCATGTTGCCTCCAAATTAACAATGATGCAGCTTCTCAAAGGAAAAGAAAAACGAACGATAACAGTTTTGCAAATCTTACCACTGGGTATCAGCCCAGCCTCAGACAAGAAATCCTTGACTCTAGACAGAACAGTTAAAGTGCGTTGGAAGCTACCTTGTCTTGCCTGTAAAATTGGTTTATAACTTCTATTTTTAAGTACACAGAACAGAACCCTAATGGCAGTAAATAAATAAGAAACATCCTGCAAAACAGAAGAATCATCTCAGAATCTAGAGAATCTGTACAGTGGAGAGAGAGATACCTCCCAAGGATCAACCATTATAAATTCTGAACTCTGGCAGGCCAGATTGCACAACTGTATACGATGTTCAGCAGATATAAGGCCCTACATAACCAACCAAGTGACCATGTCAATGCGTGGAAATAGAGGGATATGTGATATCTGATCATATGATCTAGCTACAGCACTTATTCAGGCATAAAGAAGTAATAAACCTCATAATTGCATTAACAAACTCATTCAAGTAACCTAAATAATAAATAAATAAATAAAATGGAATAAATGTGTTGCTTCTACAACCCTGGTTGAAAGGGGTCCAGGAAGAAGTTGAGCTATGTGAATAACTTCCGAATGTGGCCTCATCCCAGAACTCTGTTAAAAATTGTCGTGCATACTATGTACCTTAATCCATGTGCTTATGAAAGCTCTTTCTACTCCAATGCCTACAGAAATGCTATTAAAGGTTACATACCTTCTTATTGTACGCATCATTAACAGGCGACATATAACCTCCAATGACACAGAAGCCTTGTGAATTCAGTGCATCTCTAGCCAGCTCTGTGCACAACAGCAAAATTGATCAAAATCTACAAATGATCTGCAATTTCCAGTGAAAAAAATGAGCACAAGATCCCAAAGTCATAAGTAGAAAATGAAACCCAAGAGGCCATTACCAGATTCAAATAGAGAGCGCAATTCGCATATATGTATATTCATATGTTAGCTGTCAAAATGAGACACTTACCGAACATTCGTAAATGCATATAAGTAGGAGGATTGAAACTTCCAGTTGCTACTAGAACTACATACTTCTTGTCCCTAGTTTGGATAGAGACAGAGATGGAGAGTTAACATATTTTCAAAAAAATTACACCCCCTAGTATTAATTTTGTCAACCTTGACATTCATGCTTGAAATTTAACCAACAAATGCAATTCTTCCCAAATGAAAATGTAATGCAATTCTTCAGCAAATTAAAATGTAATGCCCTTAAAAGGCCAAGGACAAATACATTCCTTTTACTAAAGTTAAAAGGCCAAATTCAATCCTTGGAAGGCAGACATATCCAACGATTCCACTAGTAACAAAAAACAGCAAAAAACAGTCAAATAAAATTGACAATATGAACATACTTGTCGTCGCGATTAACCAAATGCAGAGCTAATTTACTAAGAGGCAGAGGGATGTCCATGGCACCTGAAAAAGTTTTAAAATCCATATTAAAATGTATTACTACTACAAACAAAAGGAATTCCCTCAATGTTATCTCTGTTTGGGTTGACTTTGAGGAAATGTCATTTTCTGCAGTAAAAATCTTGTTTAACAAGGAAAAAAGAAAACAACAGATAACAAATGAAAAAGCAATAGGTCTCCACATTTTACATATATTATCTGTAGTAATTTAAGATTAAATCAGAAGAAGAAAAAATAAAGCACAAGCAGCCTAAGTGAAAATTAACCCAAATCATAAGCTAGTCCAAGACTAATATAAAATTCTCACCTTGTCTGTCTGCATATGGCTGGTCTATGTAGATTTTAGAAACAGAGAACCTGCACCTGAGCTTTGACTAAGTTACTCAAAGATACATACACTATTGACAGAGAGGCAACTGATTTGCTCTTCCAAATTAATCAAGTGGTGAATAACTAATAAAACAGAGAGAGAAAGTTTGAAAATTTGTTTTCACGCAGAGAGAGGTTTTTCACGCAGAACACCGAGAATCTGCAACTTCTGTTTTTTTCTTTTCAGGCAGCTTCTGATTGAGTTATTCCAGTCAGATACGCCCAATCCCATCTGTTACCTAGCTAGAACCAAGCCCAATGGATCCATGGTAACCACCTATTGATGCGTACTGGGCCCTTAGACCCAAAAAGCCTCCATCTCTCACCACATTCCACATTATCTACATGTGCCATTTTAACTTCCGTAAATAATCATCATTTACTTGCAGAGAAATTATAGAATAGTACTCGATTACGATTATGGTCAATGTGGTATAGCTTGTGTATTATAATATGAGTGGACAACATGACTGGTATTCCTTCTTTTAGGAAACAGTATCAACAAATATTTACTTATATTTTAATATATGAACAGGTTATACCACGTGAACGTACTACTGAAATACACTATAATTACTCATATTTGTACGATATTTACTAATCACTTTATTAATCACCTCTCAAATAGATATAAGCCACACTAATGTATGTGAGACTCACTTATATTAGCAGAGCCGACCTTAGTCTAAGGCAACCAGGACTACAGCCTAGGGCCCAAAATTGAGGGGGGCCCATAATGTTTTTATATAGCCTATATATTTATTTAAATAATAATAATAAAAAATGAAACCGTCAAAACTAGAACTTCTAGGAAGCCAGCAAGTACGGGCAAATCACTTTTGATTTTTGCTCTTTGTTCAAAGAATGACTTTTTTCAGACGTTCTTAGTATGGGCTAAAGCAAGTATGGGCAAATGACTATATAATTATATAATATAATATGAAGGAAAAATAAAAACTAGACATAGGTAAACAAACCCAAACCAACAAAAAATCTTCTTAGCCGCCAAAAAAAAACAAAAAAAACAAACAAACAAACGTTATTTTCAGACTTTCTCCGCTTTGCTTCATTTTTGTGATTCTCTTCTTCCAACACTGAGTTGGAAAACAAAATCCACAAAAAAAACTGCTCTTAAAGGTAATTTTTTTTATTTTTTATTTTTTATAGATAGTAGATGTATAAATTTTGTAATACACATCATTATTAACTTATTTTTTTCTTTATTATTTGATTCAAACAGAAATTTTTTGCGATTATTGTTCCTTAGAAGTTTCAAGTTGAAGAAAGTATGCTCAAAACAGGTTTTATTTTTTTTATTTTTTGTTTTTTGTTAATTAGTTTAATTTTATTGGGTTATTGATTGATTGTGTGTTGTTCGTTTATTATAATTTTTTTTAAATGTTTCCTAAGTTTCTTATTTGATGCTGCAAAGTTGACTTCGTTGGATGATAATAAATTGAAAAATTCTTGTGTGAATCTTGAAAATATTTTAAAACATGGTGATGTTTATGATGTTTATGCAAGAGATTTATTATCAGAGTTACATGTGATGTTGCCAAAAGAACCATATGAAACAGATATATCATGGACATGCATTAAAATTCTTGAGTTTGTAAAGAGTGTGGATATGTTTCTTAATGTAATGGTTGCTTATAGGGTATTAGCGATATTTAAATAGGCTAAATGGATTGATGATTTTGCTTCTAAAAGTACTACGAGAAGACATTTTAAATGATGTTTTGTGGTTGATGAGACCCCAAAGTATTGTTCCTTATCTTTTGTAATGAGACACCAAAGTGTTGTTCCTTATCTTTTGTAAACTCCTATAATTTTAATAAATTAATTAATTGATAATTGTTTTTTACTTTTAGTGCTTAATTTGTATAAAGGGGCCTACTTTAGAAATTTGCCCAGGGTTTTACAAAATCCAGGACTAGCTCTATGTATTAGGGAGGTGATTAACAATGTGGTCAAATGTTGTACAAATAATAATACTCACAACAGTTTTAGGAGTACCAAGTCTTATTCGACTCATGTTTAATATTTCATTTATTCATATTTTTGCCCATTTTAAACCTGATTTATTTGTAATTAATAAGCGATTGTAATGTGATGGTAGAAATTTTTTTTTACATCAATGAGAGAGTGAGGATTCCAACATTGACTAGTAAATAGTTGGTCAAATAAAATTGATTATGAAAAATAAAAAAAAAAAAAAAAAAAAAATTGGTGGTCTGTAATTACTTTATTGAAAAAAAATTATAATTACTGTCTTTATAACATTGTTGGAAAGCCTATATTTAGAAATATTTGGGCATGTTTGATAATCATTTCAATTTTTAGTTTTTAGTTTTTATTTTAAGAAATTGAAAACATAAAATTTATTTGGTAACCGATTTTGAAAACTGTTTAGAAGTATTTGGTAACTGATTTAAGTTTTCAGTTTTATGTGGAACTTGGAAATGACATTTTTTGGGATCAAATTTAAGCTCATAGAATTAAAGTACATGTTACGAAGAGTTTGTAATATTTTTCAATATTAGGATGACTTTTTTTTGTGAATTTTGAATCTGAAGGTCCCAAGGCTTGGACCGAGTTAGCGGCCGAATGCAAGAGTTGAGTGCCCAAGTCCAAGTCAAGAGGTCCCAAATACCGAGTTTTGGTAATTAGAGTGCAATGCATGTGTGGTGCTGTGAAATTAGTGAACAAGAAAGGAGTGCAAAAAAATGAAAACAATAACTAAAAACTGAAAACACTTTCAAGTTTTTTTAAAAAATAAGGGTGATTTTTAAAACTAGATTTCACTTTTTAAAAAACTAAAAACGAAATTTGTTACCAAACATGTTTTTCAATTTTCAATTTCTGAAGAAGTGAAATGTGAAAATGAAATGGTTATCAAACAATTCCTTCGCAATTTGTATTAATGTTTTATGACTAGTCATCAAACTTTCACAAGCGAGTTGATCATCATCATTTCCTCCATTTTACTAAGCAATTTCTTCATCTCCTTCTCCACCGACACCCAACATATGAGTCTCTCCAACACATCACCTCATTAGAATTGTTCTCTGTTTTGAGTAAGTTAAGTCACGCATGAGGGGCATGTTGAGAATATAATCTCACAAAAGAAATGTTAATCCTTGCATTAGTACTACATGTAATGTAATGCCCTAGGCCGTCTTGATTCATTCCTCGTTAGATTTGAGTTTGGATATACTCTAAATATGATGATACTCCATAAAGTGACCTGCTTATTCCTTGATAATTGCGATATGGTTTTGCCATATCTTTTTTTCTTTTGATTAAAAACACCAGAAGGTATGTTTTTCCATTGCAAAAAGTACATAGGATAAAAAGATCAAGATCTTCCATACATTGAAAGCAGAACAAAAACAAAACCCGCAAACAAGATAGTTGTTAACAAGTTCTATTCTATTTTGTTAGTTGGATCTGTAAGTTATAAAGAACTTGAACTATGGTTGTAACATCAAGCCGCAAATATTGACCCAAAACAAAAAAACATCAAGTAGTAAATTTTACTTCATAACAAGAAAAGGAAAAAGTGTACTTTATTGTGGTGAACAAAAGTTGAAGTACACTGTTAATTAGATGAATGTTGTACTTTATTGTGGTGAACAAAAGTTGAAGTACACTGTTAATTAGATGAATGTTGATATCTCTCTCTCTCTCTCTCTCTCTCTCTCTCTCTCTCTCTGTGAACACTGTTAATCTGCTAGCTCCAAATCAACTTGATCAGCTTTTGCCTTGTTTCTTTCGGTTGTTTTCTTTGGTACTTGTGCCTTGTTGCCTTGTGTGCTGGGTGGCTTTAATTTGGCGGCGGTTGGATGGTGGAGCCTTGTTTGTGGTCTCTCTCTTGTTGTGCAGACGAGTTCACACTTGACACTAATTATTCACATTCCCAAGAATCAAGATAGATAAAATATATACATATATGAATGGGAATTATATTATATAAGCAAGAAACCCATAATATTGGGGAGAGAGAGAGAGACATGGGGCTGAAGGGTGTGATGACAGAAGCATAGAGAGCACAAAGGAGAGAGATGCTGCCTGCCATGTCGATGTCCATGCATTTCTTCATCTGTGCTCTCTATCTTCTGTCAACAAAACCTTGTGCTTCTTCTCCCCACACACATATGACAAATATATATATATATATACCCTATAAATATGTATAGGAAATTTAAAACTAAAGGTGTGATGACAGAAGCATAGAGAGCACAAAGGAGAGAGATGCTGCCTGCATGTCGATGTCCATGCATTTCTTCATCTGTTTTTTTTTTTTTTTTTTTTTTTTTTTTTTTTTTTTTTTTTTTTTTTTTTTTTTTTTTTTTTTTTTTTTTTTTTTTTTTTTTTTTTTTTTTTTTTTTTTTTTTTTTTTTTTTTTTTTTTTTTTTTTTTTTTTTTTTTTTTTTTTTTTTTTTTTTTTTTTTTTTTTTTTTTTTTTTTTTTTTTTTTTTTTTTTTTTTTTTTTTTTTTTTTTTTTTTTTTTTTTTTTTTTTTTTTTTTTTTTTTTTTTTTTTTTTTTTTTTTTTTTTTTTTTTTTTTTTTTTTTTTTTTTTTTTTTTTTTTTTTTTTTTTTTTTTTTTTTTTTTTTTTTTTTTTTTTTTTTTTTTTTTTTTTTTTTTTTTTTTTTTTTTTTTTTTTTTTTTTTTTTTTTTAAAAAAGAAAAAAAAAGAGGCAGATTGTTGAGAGTAACAAAGCACCACACAATT